GTTGCTATTGTTGTAAACATTTTTCCACTCCAAATGCTGCTCAGCTATATCATTATTCGGCTAATTTTGCCTTGTTTGTATGTGTTTGCATTATTATTATTTCTTTTTGTTTTTTTTTTTTTTTTTATATAAATTCTACGTTTTCTCTTATGTGAATTAGTTGCAGCGGCTCCTGCCGCTTTTATTCTTCTGTTTGTTTCGGGGCCGAGCGTTGCTGAAAGTTTAAAGCAAATGTTGAGCAACTTTGAGCAAAAAACATACTTGAAAAGCGTTGAAAAATGCCAAGAGTTTAAAATATAAATATCTACTCAAATTAAAACAAATAAAAATGCAGAATTAGCAGATATTCTGAATGCAGCTTTCCTTTCTGCAATTAATGTAATTTGTGTTGTTTGTGCTTGCTTAAAAGATATTCAAGAACTGATATACCCTGCCAAATGTGACCTCTACGCGAGTTAAGGGCCTCAAGCTTTGCTCACAAGACAAATCTGCGTTGTGAGGGCATCTTCAGCTCTTAAAGTCTCTCAGATTCGCGCATTCATGCATACGGACAAGCCCGCAGACAGACTCGACTGTTGATGCTAATCAAGAATATATATACTCTATGAGAGATGCTTCCTTTCGCCTGTAACAAACATTTGCAAAAAAAAACAAGTAAGAGGTTCTAGTCGGGAGCTCCCGACTAGGGGATACCCTGAACCCTCTTATTCCAACATCAAATGCATATATATATTCTATATTAGAAGCTATATGTCAAGTTTGGTGACTTTAGCTCTTATTATTTACCAAAATTGCACAAAAAACAGAAAATCGATATCGATTTTTATCGATTAATTAGAAACTGAGTAAGTTATCGATTATCGGAAGCAAGCTCGATCTACGTGGGAGCTAGGAGCACCTATATCAAGTCTCTAGCTCCTATAGGTTCTGAGATCCTTGCGTTTATACATACGGACAGACGGACGGACGGACAGACGGACATGGCTAGATCGACTCGGCTATTGATGCTGATCAAGAAGATGCTTCCTTCTTCCTGTTACATACATTTGGATTTTGCACAAATACAATATACCCTTATACCCATTTTTAATGGGTTCAGGGTAAAAAACCAAATACACCTTTACTCTTTCGGACTGCAGCATAATAAGTTGGCAAATCCGTTTAATAATAGAATTGTTATCAATGTGAAGTTTGGTTGTTATTAACATCTACAAACTGTCAAATTTGTAGTCTAACCAGAATGCGTAAAGAGCGGGTATATTGGTTTTGCGCAAATGTATGCTACAGTCGAGTCCGTTTGTCTGTCTATCTGTCTGTCCGCCTGTACGTTTCTATAAATAAAGTCGAGCTCTGAAAGATAATTGGCGCAAATTTAGTAAATAATAATTCACTTTTCGGAAACTGAACAGACGCAAACACTCTTTGTTATTGGTTATTCGTAGAACGGACAAAGTGACTTTTCCTAGAAAATTGTAGCTTACAAATTAAATGTCGAGCAATTTTTAATGTGAATGTTAATGAACGTCAATAAACGTGTGCAAGTGCTTTGCTTATTTATTCATTTGGATGACATCTCTCAAAAGTTACAAATAAACAAAGTCAAAACATGAATTAAAATCAAAAAAAAAAAACAACAATATATTTTTTGACATTTTTTGAATTTGTTGCCTGTAAAATTAGTTAATTATATTAGTTATTTATCATATCAAAATGCCAATTCATATTAAATAAATTAACTAATAAGTTTAATAACGTGTAAAACTTGCTTTTGACCAAATACAAAAAAAAATAAATAAAAATCATAAAAATTTCTTAAAATAAAAAAAAAACACGTAATTCTTATAAAAATATGTTGATTTTTGTTGATTTACACAAAATATATTCGGCTTAATCGGGACATAATGTTAATAAATGCAGTCAAAAATCAATTTTAAGCCAACTAATAATATGCTTGTAATAAGATATAATTGTCTTCTTCTTAATCGTTAAATATCTTTGTCTACAAATGAAAGATTTAAGTTGTGCAACGCGACTCGTAACTGCAATTTGTGCGTTTAGGATATGGTTTTTTAGTGGCAGATGAAATCTTAATTTGGGGCTGTCTATCTGCTAAAAAAAAAACAAAAAAAGTAAAAAGTGTGCCCCATAATTGTCTCGATTGTCTAGTGTTCCGCTTGTCCGGGTCTCGAGTGCCTGTCAACCTGTCAGCCTGCAGGGTATGCAACACTTTTTTTCGGCAATGCGGAGGAAAACGAAAAACGTTCGTGAAATGTGCAGTGGAAGCAATAAAAAAAAACATACACACACACACACAAAAAAAATGGTCTAGAAACGTTCAGCGACCGCATCTTTGGAGCACAAATCAAAAGAAAATGTCACAGTCGCTGCCGTCGCTGCCGTCGCTAGCGCAGCTGCTGCGCAGCAACTGAGGGCCAAGCAGTTGACTCTTAGCGGAAACGGCCTCAAGCCCAGAAATAGGGCTAGGTCATTTGCGGAGCCCAAAACTGTGCAAGTGTGGGCCTGCTAACAAGGACATGCCACCCAAAAAACACACACACACACACACAGAGAGAGAGTGAAACAGGCAGAGGCACCCTCACGGAGACAGCAGCGCCGTTCTGTTAAAGGATGCTGCTGCAGCGACGGCGTTGGCAGCGCATTTGGCTTGCTTTCAGTACTGTCATCTGCTGGCACGCCCGACTAAGAAGGGCTAAGCAGCCGCTGCTGCTGCCGCAGCCGCAGTCGCAGTCGCAACAGCAGCAGCAGAATTTTATGCCAAGGGCAGCGGCAAGCCCAAGCACGTTTTGTGGCGCAGACATAACCTCAACTTCTTGCGCGCTGCTTACCACGCTGCCAGCGTCGACGTCGCTGCTATTACGGCAGCCATTTTATAGGCCAGGCAGCAGCTATTTGTGTGGATTTATGTGTGTGCACAAGCACGTACATGCACACACACACACACACACACACACATGCGTACGGTGCTGCTGTTTTCATTTTGCAAATTTATTAAGCGCAGAAAAACACACTAAAATATAAAACATAAAAAAAAGAAGATTGAAGCATGCAGCACGATCGCCAAAAAAAAACAAAATCACATGCGTGTATGCAAAACAAAACTACATAGAAAAACGATAAAACAAAATAATGCATGCTTAACTTAAAGTAAACGACAATCAACTAAAATATATTAATGAATAAATTTGTTTACGCTACAGTTTTGTGCTGCTTTCGCTAGGCAAGTAGGTTGCTTTGTTTTTTTAAATTAAACGTTACGTTTCGTTTCGTTAGATTTGTGCGTTTCGTTTTGATATTTGGCTTCTTCGTCTTCTCCATCGACTTAGACTAAGGCTGGCTGGCTGCAGATTGAGCTTTAAGCGCTATTCGTATTCTCTTGCGAGTTGTGCGTTTTATTTCATCTTAATTTGTATTATTCAAATTTATGTGTGGCGATTTTTTTTTTTTTAGCTTATTGAACTTTACATTTTAGTGGGCATGGCTTTTGTTTGGCATACGCGGATTGTTTGGCATACCATGAACCAAAAAAAAAAATATATTGTAACACGCTCTCGCATACGCGTACACACACACACACACGCGCGCACGCACGCACGCACGCACGCAGTGAGAAAAAATTCGAGTGGCGGCGGCTGCGACGGCAACGCGTTTAACACAAAAAAAAAAAACAAAAAAAATAGGAAAAAAGCGTGGCAAATTTAGCAAAATTTTGTGCAATTTATTGTGGAATGCCTTGGCAAAGTGAGCGAACAAAAACGGCCGGAGAAAATGTGCAAAAGACGCATAAAATATTTGAGCAGCTGCGGCAGTAAAAAGAATTTAAGCGGCTGACAATTATTTAAATAGCAGAGCCAACTCAGACAAGAAGTTTCCGTTTCCGTTTCTGTTACTGATTGGGATTTTTGCCGTGCAGTTTTTGCTGCGCACGCCCGCTTTTACCGCCGTCCGTGGCTCTAAAGTATGCTACAGTTTATGTTGAAATCTTGCGCGTAACTGAACTGAGCGTTGCGAATTATGTGTACAGCAGCCGTTGCCGTGGCCCGTGCACTGGCGCTGGCTCCGTTTCTGTTTCTGTTTCTGTTTTCTGGTTTCTGGTTAACGGACTTTGGCTCAGCTGCCAATGCGGCAGCAGCAGTCGAGGATGCTAATGCTAATGCCGACGCAGCGGGCTGCTGGACCAGCCGAGCCAGTGGCAAGTCAACTACAGCAATGACACGCGAGAGAGAGAGCGAGAGGCAAGAGAGAACGAGCGCGCGTGCGGTATTGCCGAGATACAGAGCAAACAGCAGCTGCTCGACTACGCCTGGCTTAGTACCAATGCTTTAGCCAATGAGTTACATTTTTATTTTTCTTTTTGCTATTAATTTTAAACAAAATTCGTAATGCCGCATTTTTATTGAACGCGACTGTTGAGCAATGTTGCGTTTTTAGTGGTGCTGCCAGACAATCTGTTAAGTGAAGAGCTGCCAGACTTAAGCAATTGCGGCAGGCCACAGAATAGGGGAAGTAACTTGACCTAATAATTTAAAAGCTTATATCCAGAAAATATTAAACTAACAAAATATTACAAAACTCGTTTTCTTTAGTTTTCATCGAATTTACAAATATATAATATAATTTACAAATCGAAATACAGTCATACAATAAACTAGATTAGCATATGAATTATAAATATATTAAGTTTACCTAAAATCGAAGGGTTTTCATACTGATAAACAGATGGTACATCAATGAGCTTGATGCGAATCGAAAATATATATAACAATATATGCACGCGTATATTTACTTTTATACGGCTGTGAACCCAAGCTACCACATATGTCACAAATGTTATTGTTCCAAAAATGTACGGTAGCACTGTATTCTCATTTTTTGCGTTAACAGTAAACGCAAAAATGACCTAAAAGTCTGTTAATTCAAAGCAGCGTTAGTATTTTTAGTATGCCAATATATCGGCGAACCACCATAATCGCTAGCTGTGTGTCGGCCTTCTATCGCCCGTCGATATATTTCTATCTGCAAGTTTTTCTCAACATAAGTTTTTTTTATGTTTAAGAAACATATACGAAAGCAGAAATCGATACATTGCTAAAGTGCTAATGCCAAACAGAAGAAATTGAGACAAGAGCCTTGCAACTCCAGAACGATATAACTTAACGAAACAGCCAACGAGCAGCAAACAGCAGACATAAAGGCTCACATACACTCACGCACGCAAACGATAAAAACGAAAAAAAAAAAAAAAAAACAAAAAAAAGAAACGCAAATTATTTGAAATAAGTTAGAAGTTCTCCAAATATTTTAAAGTCATAACAGAGCTGATTCCAGCTCGAACAAAGCCCCAATACATTAAGCTGCGCCATTGCCCCTTTCAGCTCAGTAGCATCCCGTGTACTTCTGTGCGTGTATGTGTGTTGTCTCTGATTGTTTTCTATTGTGTGCGCAGTGCGTGCGTGCTTTTGGCTGAGGGGGCGGGTGGGACAAGTGCAACTAGCAGCAGCTAAAGGAGTGAAATCTGTGCAGCCAAATCGGCAAAACAGACCTGTGTAAGTAACAAAACGCGCGCATGCTGCCAAGTGGGTGTGGTGATGGTCGTTTGCGACGGGGGATGGGGGATGGTGGATGGGGGAAAGTGCAGCGCGACATTGCCTGCCTTCGTGTTATTGTTTTTTATTTTTTTTTTTCTTTTCTGTTGCTTATCAAGATTTTGCGTCATTGCAGTTGAACGGTCTCGAGTTTCTTTAAAGAAACGCGCGTCCATGTTTAAGCTTTTGATGCTGGCCGAGATCAGGCGACGGCAAATCGTTTAGCAGCAGCACAAAAAGGAGCAGCAGCACTGGCCATGCTCCCTATTAGCGAGGAGCAGCACGTTGACAACAGCAGCAATCTGCAACATGCCGAGACCTCAGATGAAGCTGCCGCAGCGGCAGCGAACGGTCTTGGTGTTGAGGAGTCGGCACTGGGCGCTGATGCTAGCTTGTGGACGGCACTGTACGACTACGATGCACAGGGCGAGGATGAGCTGACACTCCGACGGGGACAAATTGTTGTCGTCCTCTCCACGGACAGTGAAGTGTCTGGCGATGTGGGCTGGTGGACGGGCAAGATCGGTGATAAGGTACAGTTATTATTGATCAGTAAAGGAAAATTAGCCAGTCTCTAAGTCTTTAACCATTGCCAGGTGGGTGTTTTTCCCCGCAACTTTGTAACAGACGCGGATCCGTTGGAGTTGCCGCATGAAATTGACTACTCAGAGCTGGATATTAAGGAGGTGATTGGATCTGGTGGCTTTTGCAAAGTGCATCGTGGCTTTTATGATAACGAGGAGGTTGCCATTAAGATAGCCCATCAAACTGGCGAAGATGATATGCAGCGCATGCGTGACAATGTTCTGCAGGAGGCCAAACTATTCTGGCCACTTAAGCATCGTAATATCGCGGCACTGCGCGGTGTCTGTTTGAAGACCAAACTGTGTCTTGTCATGGAATATGCACGAGGCGGCAGCCTGAATCGCATACTCGCTGGCAAAATACCGCCTGATGTTCTCGTCGATTGGGCCATACAAATTGCTCGCGGCATGAACTATTTACACAGCGAGGCGCCCATGTCTATTATACATCGCGACCTTAAGTCCTCCAATGTGCTCATCTATGAGGCCATCGAGGGAAGCCAATTGCATCATAAAACGCTCAAAATAACCGACTTTGGCCTCGCCCGCGAAATGTACAACACACAGTGCATGAGCGCTGCTGGCACCTATGCCTGGATGCCGCCGGAGGTCATTAGTCGGAGCATGTACTCCAAGTATGTGGACACAATATCAACAAAATTAAGTTGAATGCAAATAATTGTATCCACAGATCATCGGATGTGTGGAGCTATGGCGTGCTGCTCTGGGAACTGATCACAGGCGAGACGCCCTACAAAGGTTTCGACCCGCTCTCCGTCGCGTATGGCGTCGCTGTCAATACACTAACGTTGCCGATACCAAAAACCTGCCCCGAAACTTGGGGTGCTTTAATGAAAAGTGAGTGAAATATTAGTGTCTACGTATACAAAAAATGTAAATCCAAATGTAAACGTTTACTACCCATTGCAGGCTGCTGGGAAAGCGATCCGCATAGACGGCCTGACTTTAAGAAGATTATTGAACAGCTGGAGAGTAGCGCGTGCTCCAAGTTTACGCTAACGCCGCAGGAATCCTTTCACCATCTGCAGGAACTGTGGAAAAAAGAGATTGCCGAGGTGCTGCACGATCTGCGCGAAAAAGAGAAGGTATCTGTCCAAAAATCCACAATGAACCAATGCAAAAATGTCGTCGTCTATTCTCTGTTAGCGCCTCAATAGGAAACTCTCGCTCTCTCCCTTTATGTTTAGTTTTGTATCTCTACATGTTAATATCTCTTTAGCTCTCACATAAACAAAATTGTCTAATCATTTGATTTACCGCTTCTTTTCTATCAACTTTTCCGTCAATATTTGTTACCCAACTTCAAACCATGTTAAGCGTTTTCAAACCATCGAAGAGGTAAGCGCGCCATGTTCCAAAAAAGGGAAAAACATTTTTATCGCTCGATTTTGTTCCATTTTAATTCAATTTGCTTCGTTTCTGTTAATGTTATTTTGGTCATTGCTATTCGAGTTTTGTGTGCTTTGAGTTTTTATTTTCCCCCACCCCCGGACCAACTGCACCCGGCACCCCTCTCCGTATGCCAACAACCGGCACAATAATTGCATGACTTGCCATTTGCCAGACAATCAGTTGGATACACTGAGCGCCCCTGCACTAAAAATTGTCCCATTGTCAGTTTTTCCGTTTTCTCGTCCAATAGGAACTGCGCAACAAGGAGGAGCAGCTGGTACTCATGCAAAAGAAGCAGCTGGAGAAGGCCAATAAGCTACATGAGCTCGAGGAGCAGTTACGTCAGCGTGAAATCAATATACTCGGACGCGAGCTAATGATGCAGCCAGTGTCAGTCCCTGTGCCGGTGCCATCAAAGCGGAAGCCCAAAAAGAGTAAAAAGGTAAACCAAATAAATAACAATTGACGTCTTTATATACAATATAATTCTTCCATCTCCATCACAGAAAGCACTGCAGATATCACTGCCAACGGAGTTCCGGCACACAATTACGGCCGTCTGCGACAAAGTCGAGCCGCCAGGTTCGCCCTCCCTATCCAGATTGCGTATTGTGACACGTGAGTAGAACAAAACTTTGTCCAAAATAGTCGTTGAGTACACATTTTTGAGCAAAATTGATCCAATTCCGCGTCAGGGTTTCCCCAAAAGGCTTCTCTTCTCCACTTCAGTTTGTTTGCAATTCCAGTTTCAACTAAAAAATAAAAATAAAATGAGGTTGGATCATTTAATTTAATCAGTTGATCTGCTTGTCTTATAACAATATAATTGATATTATGATAAATGAAATTAAGAAGATTACTGAAACGAACTGGAATGGAACAACAAATGAGCATTTAAATCAGTTTTTATAACCGCAATGAGGGGAATTTGACCATAGAATTTTTTTACCAAGCACCTTAATCACTTATCGGTTACCGAAAAGGTCGGAATAACAACATCACAGAGTTTTTAAGCTCTGTTTGCTAACTAATACGAAAGGAACATGAAACATGTTCAATGTTTCAATTCCGCATGTTCCACATTGAAGATTTGTATAGTTTGTTTAATGTATCGTAGTTTTGATTATTTTATTATTTATTGATTTGTATATTTTTTTGTTCTTTTATTTTTCTATTCTTTGATCTTTCCGCGCTTTGGTTTACTTTGTTTTTTTTTTTTTGTTTGGGCGCGCGGGACAGTCACCGATGGGCACAAAAACAAAACCTGGGGACCATCGACGATGCACCAGCGCGAGCGCTCGCTGCTGCCACCGCAGCTGGGCGGCCAGCCAGAGTGGCCGGCGCAAAGCTCCACGCACTCATCATTCAGCAAGAGTGCACCGAATCTGGACAAGAAGCAGCTGAATGCGGCTGCCGCTGGGACAGCTGGAACTGGGGCGACAGCGATAGCTGCAACAACAAAGTCTTCTCAGCTGCCGGGCAGCTCCAACGTGGGCAGCATTGCTGGCGGCTCAACGCCCACATCGCCCATGTATTTGGGCGGCAGTGTGGCGGCCATGGGTGCGGTGGGCGCTGGTGTGGCCACAGGTATGCCATATTTAATACTGCATACCAACAACAACAACAACAACAACCACAACAACAACATCATCAACAACAACAACAACAACAACAACAATAGTAATCACATTTTTAACAACAACAACCACAAAACTAATACCAACAGCATCATTTCATCCAACGCATCGCCACGATTAAACGGCAATCACAGCAACAACAACCACAACGTAGCTAACCGAAAGCCTGCCAATAGCATTTATGGTCGTGCCCGCAGCCAGGATTATGGTCTGGATCTGCCGTATAGTGCAAACCATGTTGTGCATCTGCTCTCGGACGATAGCTCCGAGACGGACACCCTAACGCCGACAACAGGCTGTTTTCATTTCTTAAAATCAAGCGCCTCCGCTGTCGCAATGGCGCCCGTTGTAGGAGGCTCTTCCTATGGCGGCAGCCTGGGCAACAGTCCGGCTGTAGGCCGCAAGAAACTCTCGCTGGATAGTCAATTTGTGCAGCCCGTTGCGCAGATGACGGCCGCAACGCCAGCGATGATAATGTCGCCGTTGGTGCCCGCCGCGCTCGAGAGAGGCGACAATAATACGTACGATCGTGCCTTCTATCGGGATGTGGCCAAGAAGATATTGGCCAGCACCGATCGTGTGAATTCCAAATCGAGTGGTGACCTCACCATGTACAGCTCCGCCACGCGTCTCACCGAGCCGAGGGCTGACTATAACTATGATGATTCGGAGGATGGGCTGGAGAGTCGCTTTCAGCGGAATGCGTCCGGTTCGCAATTTCCGCGTCACTGCTTTTTTCGGCAACAACCAAATAGCACCGACCATGACAGGGATGAAGAGGAGCGGGAGCAGGAACGTGAGATGGAAGATGAGCAGCGCAATATTAACTCACATTGCTCCTCGGAGCATTCGTCCTCAACAGTAGACACCTCAGCATCAGTTAGCCAGACGCGCCCCAACTGTTCGACCTCGCGCAAAAGTTCGGTTACCTTTCAAATGAACTCGCCCACATTTGAGTCGCCGCCGCCGCATGCCATTACCACAGCGACAGGTGATGCGCAGAGCCAGCATCAGGCGTCCATTGCATCCATTAGCTTTGGCACCAACTACAGCTCCAGCGACAACGATATCGACGACGACTGGAACGATCATTTGAATGGCAGCGATAACGACAACGATAACGACGATCACAATGCGGACAAAGATGTTGCTGCAGCTACAGCCGCACAGAATGGCGGCCACATCCATGAGAATTCCATACTGCACACACGGCGCATGCTCGACGTCCAGCCGCATCCGGATGTGATCAAGATGAAGAAGCATCTACTGGCCGAGCAGCAGCGACAGGACAATAAGCACACGAAGAAAAAGCAAAAGCTCAGGTACATACCCAAATCCAAGTCCGTGGAAGCGCCAACCAGTGCGCTGTCCAGCAGCCAACTGTTGTTGCAACAGCCGCCGCAGCAGTTACAGCCGACGCAGCAACACTCAACGAGTGGCATCAAAATCAGATCCCTAATGAATCTGTTTACGCGCGGGTCCAAAAAGAAATACACCAAACTGTCCGATAGTCAAATGGCCCGAGCTGGCAGCGGAAGCGGCAGCACTGCCGAATTTTGCGCCATTGATCCATATGAAACGGAACTGGCAACGGGCAAGTCCACAACAGGACGCTCCACGAAGCGCAAAAGCAAAAAGCCCCAAACGCAGTCCTGTGAGCAATTGGAGCGCGTCTGAATGTCTCTGTGTGTGTCTCTGTGTGTGTGTGTGTGTGTGTGTATCGGCTCTATCTGACAGTTCTACTTGTTGTGGTGGTTGTTGTGGTCAACGCCGTGCATCGTCGCAGTCCTGCATCAATAATAATACAAATACATGTGCATATGCATGTATACATTTATGTATATATATATATGTATACCGCTAGCAACAAGCCCATTGTTTTATATTAAAACCATAGATTAAGGCATATCATGCACACACAACCACACACACACACCCACACACACACACACACACACATACAAGCACTAGCTCCTAACTACTTGCATACATATAACAATAACAAATAACAAGGAACTTTCGTTTGTTCATTTGATCTTTTTACTGATCCATGTGTAAGCAAAGATTTCGGCCAAGGCTCAAAGCAACTCCGAAAATTAGCTATTCGACTCGGCACGAGTATAAATTATGTGATCAGAGAGGATACGACGCGAATACTTTGAAAAAGCTGGGTCTGAACTTTATTTACAGTTATCAGAACTGTTAACTTCAGTGTTGAATAGTGGAATTAGTGGAAAAAGCTTTGACCGAAAATTTCATCTCGAATCAGCGAGAAAAACGAACTTGATGGAAAATTCGTCAGAAATCGCGCTAAAAATATATATATTGAACCCAGATAAAGAAGTTTCAGAGGTTATTGGCTAAAGAGTTGGTTTTGACGAAGAATCTAATAGCGCAGATAACTAAAAACTGCCAAAATGCAGTTGATTTCGAAAATTTTGCGTAATAAACCAAAGTACATTGCGATTTGTGCTCAAGAGCAACTGCAACTGCCAACTGCAAGGGAGAGCTATTGAGTCGAGATCTGAAGCGAACAGCTAAAAACAAATATACCAGAAGACAGAGGATATGATGAGATAGGGAACTCTCCAGACTGGCAAAAAAAAACTAGAAAAAAAAAATGGCAAAAGTTTAGATCTAGACTAGAATATAATACGACTTCTGTGAAACTATATATGAACTGTCGTTTAAAGAGTTCAGCGAATTGATAACCATTGCGGAAATGAAAGGAATCATTTTGAAAGCATTAACTCAGGTACAATAGACCTCGATGGAAAATTCTGAGATGGCACAGACCCCAGTGAAAGGGAGAATCGAAACGTAACAGAATCTTAATAATTGTTGAATGAAAACAAAATAGCCTGTCAAGTTATTTAATGTGTATACGAATATGCTCAGGTCCATATAAATAATATACCTTGATATATGTATATATATAAACGGATTGCTTGCGTGTTCTTTGCTTACACAATGGAGTGAAAATTTGATGAATTGTTTGCAACACTACAAAATGATGTATTTATGAAACACTTTTCACATTTGAGTGAACAATTTTTTTTTATGACTATACATATCTAAATATAATATATATAAAATATTTATATACATACGAGAATACATTACAAACATCTTAGTTGAGCTTAGCCTTAGTATTTACAGTTGAGTTCAGCAAGAAGTTAGCCAGAATTAGTCGAATTCAGCTTCGTTTCTTTGTTCATTTCCAATCTTTAAAGTTTGTAGATTTTCATTTTGTATTTTGTGCAGTTTTATTTACATACATTGATTTTAATTGAATTGCAATTGGCCTTTGTCTACTTTTAGTATTTGATTTGAAAGAAATCAAAGCGAAAACAGAAAAAAAAAAAAAAAAAAAAAAACTGTGATGAAAATGATGAGAAACGAAACATCAAGAAAGAAAACATCTTATGTATTATTGTATGCAAGCTTTTAATTATAGAGTTCACTTTGGATTTATACCCTGTATCCATTCAAAAAAAAAGGTGTCATAGGTGAAAATGATGAGAAACGAAACATCAAGAAAGAAAACATCTTATGTATTATTGTATGCAAGCTTTTAATTATAGAGTTCACTTTGGATTTATACCCTGTATCCATTCAAAAAAAAAGGTGTCATATTGTGTCATATACATATACATATGTGTCTGTATCGCCTGGCAATCTCGGATTGCATTTACGTTTACCATATGCAAATCGAGATTATATGCAACTTTTCACTTAAAACATATATTAAAGGCGAGTTCGACAAACTTATTGACCTGATGAGGCAGAGTTTTGACTGTTTTTGTCTTGAATACAGGGTATCTGCTAGTCGAGCTTTTGCGGCTAGAGTATTCTTGTTTTTTTTTCTTAGTTTATTTGTTTGTTTTCTTACGTTTTACTTTAATGTAATTTGTATACTTATGTATGTTCATTGGACAAACCAAACAAAAAAGAAAGATATAATAATAATAATTAAAAAATAAATAAAAAAAAATCAAGAACAACTCCAACAATACACTGAAACCGAAACTGACAATAAAACAATTAAAATGATAAAATATGCCACTTTTAATTTTGCTGAAAATGCCCGATCCCAGCCCCAAGCTCTTGTATCCTAAATGCGGTGTAGGTTGGTTTTTGCCTGCGGTGATCCCACCCCCCCCTCCCCCCACACAACCCCTTCCCCGTTGACCAAAGCTACTCGGCTACTTACCAACACCAAACTCCAAGTAATAGTTTAGCCACACGTTTCTCAACACTGTTTCGTCAACTGTTCACCCCGCTGCCTGCGCACTCGGAAACCCGCCGCCACAACACAGGCTATCAGGGCAACAGCAAGGAGGACTGGCGCCCAGGACCAGCCAATATGCCCATCATGTCGCCATCGCCGTATCTGCTCAGCCGCTTTACCAGCAACGTGCCGCTGCCGACGCTCTACGCCGGCGACTCGGCCCGCAAGCCAAAGCTCTCCGTGATCGAGCTGCTTCTGTACAATATGGGATCGGTACTCGCAGGCGTTGCCGCCGGCTATGATGTCCGCATGTCAAATGTCTCGCCGGTGCATCCCACGCTGCTCAGTGAACTGCCCGCTCTGAAAGCAGCACCCAAGGCCACCATCGAGGAGCAGCAGCCGGACCAGATCGATCAAAGCGAACAGCAGCTGGAGGCGGCCCATCAGCTGGCCAACAAGCATAATGCTGTGCGGTAAGTGGAATATATAGGAATATAAAACAAGCTATCGTTACCTAGTTTCGATTAACTTAACAGGCACTTTAAAGTTTCTATTAATTGATCGTAATGTTTAGCTTGCCGTTAAATAATTGACAATAAGTTATACATTTGCTTTGTAGTCAAAGTTGACATCATGTTAATATGTTAGCAGGTACTTTAACCGATCAAAGCTGATCTGCATGTCAGGCGGCGTTATCTCTTATCATGCTGTTTATATCGTCTCTTTAATGCATCTCCTTGTCACTGCAGCTACTCGCCGTTGGACACGTCCATGACCACGCCCAAGCCGCAGTCAGTGGCACAGCGTCGCGTGGGTGGCAGTCAAACTTACTATACGCCCTTGCAGCGCACGCCACAGCACCAGCTGCACCAGGCGTCGCCGGTGCCAACAACGTTGCCACAACCTCAGCCACAGGCCGTGGCGATGCTTTATGCAGGCTCACAGCCGCCGACGCCGTCGCCGCGCCGCAAGCTCAGCAGCAGCAGCTGCAACAATGCCGACGTCTTTGAGGAGTTTCGCGTGGGTGGAGGCATTGGACCACCGCCGCTATATGCTCCGGCCGATTATCTGCGCAACGGGCCCAGCTACTCCAATGATGGCGGCGCCTATCGTAATGGCTATTTTGGTAGGAGGCATTCTTTCCATATTGAGCCACACACAACTGATTCGCTTGCTCGTTTTGGTTGCAGGTTCCAATTACTTTCCGTATCGACCAGAGCTAAATTTCGCATATGAGCGCGATTGTAAATCGTATCCGGACTATTCGTACGACTACAATCATCGGCTGCCCGATTACTATGACTATCAGTATGAGGCGCCAGTGGTGCCGGTGCCGGTGCCAGTGCCAGCGGTGGCAGCGTTGCCGCCGCTGCAAACGCGCACGCCGCCGCCGCGCGTTCCCCAAATGGGCGTCAGTGCTGGGGGCCATCGGCGAACGCCCTCAACTGTGTCAAACAACTCGAATGTGCTGCTGGAGCACGAGGAGCTGCTCTACGATTACAACAATCTCAATCTCAATGTTAATCTCAATATGGAATATGATTGCGAACCGCCGGCGCCAGCGACACAAATCGCAACGGTGACGCCCACCAAACAGGAGTTCTACGCCGGCTCGCCCAAGCTAATCAATCGTATGCTGCACAGTCCGCTGGCCAGCAGCAAATATGCACCTGTTACACGTCCCGCCAGCTTGCCCTTCGAGCAGCACACGCTTAGCTATCAGCTGCAGCATACGCAGCAGCAGCAACAACAACAACAGCACCCGACGCTGGCGCCGCAGACAGTGGCGATTAGCCAGGGCAAGCTGCGCAGCTCGCTCAAGAAGTACAACAGCAGCACGCTTAATGGCAGCATCTCGTCGCAGCAGGGCACGCCCACGAATCCAACGCCGCCCGATTCGCTGACCAGCGACGACAGCTCGTATTTGAGTGCCAAGGAGGGGTCCATAGGGTCGCAGCACAGTCGCGTGCGATTCAGCCCGGAGGCCTATTTGGATGCCAATACACTGCCCGTTGGCATGTTGGCCAGACGCATGACATCGCCGGGGGTGACACAGTTGCCCCAACAGCAGCAGCAGCAGCAGCAACAACGACGGCATCGACACACATCTAGCGCCAGCACACCATCGCCATCTGCCTCGTCATCCTCCTAGCAGGCGCGTCTGGCGCTGACGCTGCAGTTGGCGCGCAGTCCCGGGGCGGACATCGGCAGCGCCGGTGGCGCCTCCGGCCTGGCTCTGGGCCTGGCGTTGCATCAGCAGCGGGTGCCATATCGCTGGTACTCGGGTGCGCGGCGTTCACGTTCCGCGCACTACGAGTACCGCCTCTGAAAAAAAAGAGACGGCAATAGCGGGTGCGAGTGGGATGGCAGACAGTTTTTAAGTACATTGATACCTCAAGCATGCGTGGATTAGAGCAAGACCCACAAACACACAAACACAAACACACACACACACACGATGTAGACAGGTTGATGGTACAGCTAAACGAGGAACAGGAGCCCAGGATTAACACACACTTGACAGATCTGCTTTAGAACAGGCTGATCTCATCCCAGGCTGGGACTCTATGTCCCTCTGAATGTCAACCGATATGCCCTTGACATTTATTTTGCTGTCCGTCTGTGTCGATGTGTTGTTGTACTCACCAAATCCAAAAAAAAAAAAATGTAAATCTGCAATATCAGCTTTAAATATTACCCGACTGAATTCCATATTGTCATGGAATAAGCGCGCCACAGAGATTAGCAATTAACTTAAAGGTACATATGTATTTATATATAGCATATGAGAAAGGTTCAGTTGATTTCTACATGTAACTCAAATATATATATATATATATATATATATATATATATATATACATATATATGTGCATATACCATATGGTATTTTGTCATCAAGTTATTCACGCGTTAATTATATTATACATATATAAATGTGTATTTGTAAGAACATTATATACCAGAGTTAGATGCAACCCCTGACTTGTGCGATTTGCCTTAAATATAGCGTGAATAGAAGAAGTTCAAACTGCGTGAGAAGTTAACCTTATGCACTCGTGTATGATTGGCCCAATGTTAAAGCTAATGAATAACGCGATATATATATATAATTATGTATACATATATAAATATTAACCTATGTATGCAAGTATATAGTCGACTGTCCCCAATTGCGTTCTTTGATTAGATGCCAGCCTTATGCCACGCCCAAACAAAAGCAAAACAAACGCCATCAGCAATAATACAACATGTAATTCTAAACTAACTACACCAATAACAACTCCATTTTTAAGTCTGAAGAAAGTGTTTACACCTACATATAGATATATATACACACATATATAAATAATTTAAATATATATATATATATATATATATATGCAAATGATATGTAGCCCGATATAAAAACGTTGCTAAATCATTAGCCCTAGTTTCAAAATACTTTATCGATTTATAATCTCAAATGATATATACATATGTATATGTATAAGCGTAATATAGAATAAGCTATGTATGTATGTATGTAACATAACAAATTGTAATTCTGCGCTATTTTCCACAAATCGAAACATACATATATAATCACATGGAATTTGACTAATACATCCCGATTGATATGCAATATATCTACAGATATGTAAACTACTTATATATGCATATATATAGACACTCTTATATACGAATTCAATGTGTAACGCTTATTATATACAATCGATTCGATTAGCAAGCAGCGGGAGCGCCATCTGGCGATAGAAAGCAGCCTGTGGACGACACCTGCATTGCTAGCGCGCGTCACTAGATGGCGCTGTCATGCTAATCGAAAATGTGAATTTCTTTTAAATGCCTGTGCTAATTTTGTTATTTAAATGAATTGTTTGCATCCATAGCCTGTAGCTTGCGATAAAAGCTTAGACCTTTGACAATTAATACTATTATTTAGACAAATTGTTGTTCATGCTCACAAAGAAGGGAATTTGATAACCAAAACAATATGTTAAGCAAATCTTGAACTCACACAACTTTCGAACGAAGTGTGTGCTATTTATTCAATTTGCCTAAAAACAATATGTGAAACAAACACAAAATCAAGATAACAGTAACCAGTTAACCAATATTAAACTCGTAGCGTAATTGCCTTTTGTTGCACGATTCATTGATTATTGCAAGTTTTTGGCTTCTGCGTGTTTGAGTTGCACCTCAGTTCGGTTCTGTAGTTCGCGGCAGGTGCGAGGGCAGCAAATCGCGCGCGCGCGCGCCTTTAAATATGCAATAAAAAATGCTACTTGCGACTTATTTTTATGTACAAACTAGCAATTAATAATTAACAATTTATTTCGATCATTCAGAGACCAAAAACAAAAACAAAAGACAAAGCAAAACATTATGAATAAACAAAACTATTTTTATACAAAACTTATTCCATTGACATATTTAATTATTTAAGACAGGAAATTGCATTGAATACAGTTTATTAACCCTGTGTCCTCCCAGCCTGTAAACCTAACAAAAACCTTCAGGATTTCGAACCAACGCCTTGCCCCAAGGTTGGGTTCGTGAGCCTGGTTTTCCGCATCTGGGAGCCCAGGTATGGGTTCGAACCTTGGTGCACCACATGTTTCATATTTTTTTTAAAGTAAAGTAAAGATCAAGTAAATTTATGATATTTATTATATTATTTAATGGCGACTAATGTTATTAAGACCAAGGTGCCAGAAAGTCAGTTATGTTTCGAAAATGTTTCGATAGTAGCAAGGTTACCAAAATCATTAACTAAAATTCATTTTCACCTTTTTCACTTAACAATTTCTAAAATTTCTGGCATCATTTTTAATAAGCTTAAAGTTCTTAAAAAGAAAAGAACGTTTCAATTTCTGATTTACCATAAACCAAACCTTGATTAACTGACTTTGAACCTTAACCCTAAAAAAACCGTCCTGGAAAATAATATGGCAAAATGTTAAATTTATTAATATTTATTATATTTGATATGTTAAATGCATAAAATTGATAGTTCTAACTTATTAATTTCAAACCAAAACCTGGTTTCTTGCATTTTTCGCCAAGACTACAAGGATATCAACCTAGTAGAGGGTATTATCATTTTGTCATAAGTTCTCTCCGATTCCATAAAGTATATATATTCTACAGCTGCCATAGAAACGATGTGTTAAGCAATGGGTTCTCGTATGAAAACTTATTTGATCTTCAAGATATCTAGACATTTATAAGTTGCCCCATGCTGCCTACATATATGCAAAGTCCTATCGACATCGGATCATTCTATCAAAAAGCTGCCATGGAAACGATGGACTGAAAAGTGGATGCACGTTTGAACAACTTTTGTCTGTATATTTATATATCTAGACCAATATCGGCACTAATGAGTTTTTACTGTGCTTCTCATGTATATGCCAAATCGTATTCAAATCGGGCCACTATATCATCTATCTGCGATAAGTAAGTTCTTTTTTGTTTTTCAAGATATCTAGACTAAACTCGGAATTTATAAGTTTCGCTCCTGCCAAAAATGAACACGAAAAAAAAACACGACCCGGCCCGGCCCGGCAATATCGCTCATATCGTATATCGAGCCATATTTAACATTTCAGAGCTCGCAGCCTTCGAACTAGTATGCACATCTTCAAATGTCACATATACAGCAATATTGACATAACTACTGAGCCGAAATAGAGCAAATCTGATTAGTTTGCGTTGAATGGAATTCTAGCTCAAGAACATGACGACGTCTATCGAATTGAGCTCGTATCGCGACCAGCACTTCAAGGGCTCACGCTTCGAGCAGGAACGCTCCTTGCGAGACTCGAGCACACTCTATGTTGGCAATTTATCATTTTACACAGCCGAGGAGCAAATACACGAGCTCTTCTCACGCTGCGGCGATGTACGCATGGTTGTGATGGGCCTCGACAAGTACAAGAAGACGCCCTGCGGCTTTTGCTTTGTGGAATATTACAAGCGATCCGAAGCTGAGGCCGCCATGAGATTTGTGAATGGTACGCGACTGGACGATCGACTAATTCGTGTCGATTGGGACGCCGGCTTCATTGAGGGCCGTCAATACGGACGCGGCAAGACTGGCGGACAGGTGCGCGACGAATATAGAACTGATTACGATGCAGCCCGAGGCGGTTACGGCAAGCTTCTCACACAAAAGATTGCGCCCAATCCGGACAACCGCTAGAGAAGAGATAAACCGAGATTAAGGGAAGGCATACTACTTATTATACCCGAGTCACAACATTTTATGCATCTACTTTGGAACTTTGCAGGTGTTCTTATTTAAACGTTAAATATATATATTTCGATTGGAAATCGAAACAAAAAAATCAACAAGAAACAAATATAAACATCAGGTCGTCGAGCGTCTTTTTTATGAAACGACTCCAATCATAAAGCGATTGTTCCGACATTAGCTCTTCATTTATGACATGTTGGAGCTATATAAATGGTAGGATTCCAGATTGATAGGTTCTTTTTCAAATATTCGCATATTGTGATTTATATATGTTGGACACAACAATTTCGGAGTGTGGACTAAATTTCTGGTACAAGCCCAATATGAGGAAAACTCAGCTTGGTTTCAAACGCATTTTCATGTGTCATCCCGTGCCGGATGAAAAGAAAAGCATTCGGCTACACAAGGTTATATGTGGAAGGTATTATAATGCTGTTATAACAAGTAAGAGGTTCTAGTCGGGAGCACCGACTAGGGGATACCCTGAACCCTCTTCTTCCAACATCAAATGCATATACATATTTTATTTTAGAAGCTATATGCCAAGTTTGGTGACTCTAACTCTTATTATTTACAAAAATTGCCAAAAAAAAAACAGGATATCGGTATCGATTTTTATCGATTGCTTGGAAACGGAGTAAGTTATCGATTATCGGAAACAAACTCGATCTGCGCGGGAACTAGGAGCATCTACATCTAAAATTTCTGTAGCTCTTATAGGTTCTGAGATCCTTGCGTTCATACATACGGACGGACGGACGGACGGACAGACGGACATGGCTAGATCGACTCGGCTATTGATGCTGATCAAGAATATATATACTTTATCGGGTCGGATATGCATCCTTCTGCCTGTTACAAACATTTGGATTTTGCACAAATACAATATACCCTTATACCCATTTTTAATAGGTTCAGGGTATAAAAAGAAGGCAACTCCAATGCCCAATAAATATATTTATAAGTTACTCAGTTACAAGCTTGGCCAAGCTCTAGTAAGAATTTTAGCATCCTTAGTTCTTATGTCAGTCAGGACAAACACCTTTAGCATATATAATAGAGCGTGTGTAAGATGGTTTACTACTTTAAGAGCAAAACTTGCTACCAGAATCCATTGGCATTCCCTTTCGCCGACAGCTGGTGCCCCACAGCAGCATCTCCATTTCTATTTAGCTAGCGCCCAATTGCTGGCCAGGTGCCCCAATTGATACTGGCTTTGTTTTTACCGTTGCCTTTTAGCAACTTGCCAAAGTGGAAAAAGTGGAATGGAAAGGCATCTGGTCGCCTGGCATCTGGTGGTCGGCAGCGTTCGGCCGTCGGCGCTGCGTTCTTGTCTTCGGCTCACCTGGCCGCCCAGGCCTGGCTTGAATCTTTCGCATTTCGGTCTGCCAAATGTTTGTCTGCTCTTGAGCTGACAAGTTCAGTGCCGGCCGTCAGTTCAGGTGCACAATCGAGAATCTAACGTGAATTCTAATAAGTGCATAAATCCTATGCTTGGTTTTTTTTTCTGGTGCTCATCTGCTTAAGACTGTGCAACATTGTATGTGAGTGTGTGCGCGTGTGTGTGTGTACATGTGTGTTTGTGTGTATCGCGTTGCGGGAATACTTAAACTACAAAGGCTCAGAGCTCGTCATGGTAATTGCATCTGGTAAGTCAAGGTCTTTTCCTACCAAATAAAACCTAGGCTGCGCTTGGGGCACATTTGCATTTGGTCCGACCACCAGATCCAGTTTCTGTTTGGATTTCCGCCTCACTTCAAATTGGCCTTCGCCTAGTTTCCAGCTGCAGTTGCCGCCAAAAACCTGTTGGCGTGTGCCACATAGCCAGTGCAAAAAGTAAGCCACGAAAATCAGAACACAAGTCTCTCGGGCATCTAGGCTGGAGAGCCAAGCCACTGTGCCGAAACTTCGTGATTGAAAGAGACAGAGACAGAGAGGTAGAGAGAGAGAGAGAGAGAGAGAGAGAGAGAGAGAGAGAGAGAGAAAGAGAGAGAGAGGGGGTACAAAATATTGGTTATATTGTTTGTGTGCAATTGTGCAAATGTGCATCATGCATAAGGGGCAGAAGATCTGTAGCATCAATAAAACCATTACAGCAAGAGTGTATAAATTTGGAACCTATCTACACATTTGGCAGGCACCTATCACATTTATGATGATTCCGATTCCACAAAATCGACATCGATATCTTCTCGGAGCTTTGAAGTTTTGTGTGTATACTCCGATCAAGATTATTTTAGTCAAGTGCCCTATTTGTAGGAAAGGAGCTTTGTGCTTTGGTGCACGAACAAATTCGAAAGACATTTGTAGGCCCCCGATATTTCATGATTTTTAAACCTTCAGTAATTTTTAGACGGATATTTGAAAATGTGTTGGAAATCCATCAAATTAAGACCCAAAAGCCGGAAACAAATTTGTCACATGGTTAGCATCTTAAGCCCGTAAAATAGAATTTTCAATATCGACAAATTATGATGTGTTTCTGTAGAGCAGGATACAGGGTATCTTCTAGTTAGGCAATCTCTCTTAACAAAATCATCTGCTGCCTAATTAAAGCAAAAATTGGGCTCTTCGGTGCACCGAAGATTAATACGCTATTATCTTGGCTTGAGGGTGAGGAAGCTTGAAAGGAAATGGTAAAGCTCGAAATCAAGAATATATATACTTTCGGGCCGAGTCGGCGATGTCTACTCCAACGCGTTACACTTCTCTTGACCAAATTATAATACCCCACAAGGGTTTATTTGAAGACAAAACGCGATGTGCAAAATGTAAATGCATGTAACAGGCAGAAGGAAGCATCTCCGACCCCATAAAGTATATATTTTCTTGATCAGCACCAATAGCCGAGTCGATCTAGCCATGTCCGTCTGTCCGTCCGTCCGTCCGTCCGTATGTATGAACGCAAGGATCTCAGAACCTATAAGAGCTACAGAAATTTTAGATGTAGATGCTCCTAGTTCCCGCGCAGATCGAGTTTGTTTCCGATGATCGATAACTTACTCCGTTTCCAAGCAATCGATAAGAATCGATATCGATATCCTGTTTTTCGAGCAATTTTGGTAAATAATAAGAGCTAGAGTCACCAAACTTGTTATGTTGCTTCTAGAAGAGTATATATATTTGCATTTGGTGTTAAAAGAAGAGGGTTCAGTGTATCCCCTAGTCGGGAGCTCCCGACTAGAACCTCTTACTTGTTTGAGGTTTTAACTGTGTATAATCCAATCTAGCTCTTATAGGTTCTGAGATCCTTGCGTTTATACATACGGACGGACGGACGGACGGACGGATAGACAGATGGACATGGCTAGATCGACTCGGCTATTGTTGCTGATCAAGAATATATATACTTTATGGGGTAGGAGAAGCTTCCTTCTGCCTGTTACATACATTTGGATTTTGCACAAATACAATATACCCTTATACCCATTTTTAATGGGTTTAGGGTATAAAAATACTGATGGACCCCATCAATCGAATGATTCCTTCTGCCTCTTATACATACATATTTGCACAATACCAAGGCCATTTGCAATGGTTGCTCCCAATCTCGACTTAGCTCTCCGGCATAGATGTAAATAAATTTGTAGACATCTGTAAATAGATGTATATATGTATATGTTAATATATATTGGTGCCAGCCGCATTGGCGCTGTTGCACCGCAACCTGGTATCATTGATTTACATTTTAGACATCAATGTCTAAATCAAATTTCAACTCCGCGTCTCAAGCGATACTTTTGAAAGATATGTGACAATTGGTTTTGAAGTCAATCGAGTCCCTTTCTGGACTTTTCGAAAAGCGTGAAACAAGTCTAAGTCTAAGTCCACATCTTGGAGAAGCCGATCGGAGATGGAAAGCAAACAAATTGCATTCAACCGTTTCCACTAATATTCCGCAATTGCGAGTGGAAGGAATACTCAAAGTCCGTATATCTTAAGTTTTTATGTGAAGCTTTGACAATCAATTTGCAGCCGATCGGATAAGACTTAAAACTTTGTAAAACATTCAATCTTTAACCTCCCAGCAGGGCTGGATTAGGCGAAAAGTGAAATTGGTGGAACACAGATCATTAGGTTTGAGTTTGACCGGATAGTGTGGTTCCTGTGAGCCGAAGAGCTGGTAAAATACTTAACCAAGAAGTTGCCAGTGCCCGTTTATTGTACTTGTATTGGTTAAAGTCCTGGCTTAGATCCGTATACTGGAGCAGCTCTAGTTGCTTTGCCATGACCTTAACTTCGAACGTATTTTGAAGTCTAGTAAATACAATTACTTGTATACTTTGTAGAAATTAAAGGCAATCCCTCCAGAAAAAACTCTGAATTTTCAGCGCTCCTCAGAGTGACAACCAAATTTAGTTTGTGTTGCGTTTCAAAATTATTGGTAAGCCTCCAAAAATAATCCCAATCACCCAGGCAAGTCATGTTGCGGGCGCGCCGCGCGATCGGCGACGAGGACAGTGCCCATGATGAGCGCATGTGTTGGATCTGCTTGAACACAGATGAGGAAAGCCTGCGGCACGACTGGCTGCAACCGTGCCGCTGTCGTGGCACCAATAAGTGGGTGCATGAGGCTTGCCTGAGTCGCTGGATTGACGAAAAACAGCAGATCAATCCGGATGTACCGGTCACCTGTCCCCAGTGCCACACCGAATACATAATTGTAATGCCACCGGTCTGCCGTTTTGATGCACTGCTGGAGCGGGTGGAGAAGACCTATGGACTCCTTTGTCCAAGCATATTGATGGGCATGCTGGCGACCGTTGTGTACATAGCGACACTCTCCTACGGAGCGCTCACACTGCACCAAGTAGCTGGCTACGAGACAAGCATGCAACTGATGAAGGAAGATCCCACATTGCTGATGATTGTGCTGCCGTCGGTTCCAGCCGCACTGCTTCTGCTGCGCCGCTTCGATTGGGATAATTGGATGGTGCGCTGGCTGCGCCGTCGCCAACGTCAATCTTTGCCCCCTGAACACTTTGACGAGCACGGCGAACCCCTACCCGGTGCCCCGCTAAGTGATGACTATTTCGATAGGCAGGAACCGCTAGATGCCGACGATATGCTGCAGGGTGGTGCACTTAACGCCGAGAATATTGAACGGGCCACCTGCCGCTTCTGCACGGCCCTCAGTCTGCCCACCTTTGCCGTGCTCATTGGACAGACCCTATATGGCAATATAAACAGCAAATTGCTGGGCATTGTGATGGGCGCCGTCACCTTTGAGGCCATCAAGGGACTGATCTGTGTCTATTTACGACAATGCCAGTACTACCGCCGACGTTACCGCAGTGTACTGGACTATACGCCGGAGAATGTGAATCGCAGCGCCAGATCCATCTAGTCGCACCGGGAAACCTTCGCATTTGATGTTCAGTTTGATATGTTTGAAATAAAATTTGTAATTTCAACAGAACCGCGATGCTCCTGTGCTTGTATCCTCTCCAATCCAATCAATCGACAATTTTGCCAAGACGAGCGTGATTGTTTTCAAATTTTTAATTCAAATCACAAAACTAAAGTTTGACTGCGGCTGCTCCTAGTTCTTGCTCCGCTTTCTGTGCATTCACAAACGACAATCTCGGCCGGCGTCTGGTCCTGCAATTGTATCTGACCATGCTCCAATAACTCACAGATTATAAGACAGCGTGGTGCTCGGCCAAGGCGTGAATGCGTCCAGCCGTTGCACGGCCTGACTGTGCACTCTGCCAGCGCTGAATGGGTAAGTCTCGCATTATTGGCTGTCGATATAGCATGTGCAGCGGACATCCGAGATAGGCATGACGATTGCTGAGCTTCACATCGCTCGGCTCGTCCTTATAGCTAACCCTCAGCACCTGTGAGGGAAAACGCAAAGGTCGCGGCGCGGATCCGGCACAGATCCGGATATGTCTGCCAAGCAAGAACCCAGTGCAGCGTTCCGGCCAAGAATTTGAACCGTTCCCTGCAACTCAATTTTTCCATCATTTGGCCGCAGCTGGGCCAGGCTGTCTATGTCTATATCCTAATTGGGTCAACGGTTAGGCTATATCAGAGCAACTTAAATTTGGCAAATATTACCCTAGATCCACCTCTGTTTGCGTTTCCGTGGCTAACGATAACTTCTTGTTGTAGTTCCATAATCTATCACAATTGCAATTTTGTTCTTAAAGGGCTCTGTTTGACCAATAAATGTACATGATTAGACTAATCAAAATTGGCATAATAAAAGTCTGCTTTGTTTACTTTTTTTTACAAACCAAATGTAATAAGTAATATGGTTAAATGGACTTGTTACTTTATTGACCTTTAGCCTTTTATTAATAGAAATGAAAAGCAGCAATAACAAAATTAAACGTCACCAATCTCTCAGATTACAACAAATGTTGGTTATCATCAAAACGTGTATTTACAACTACACACAATCGTTTAGTGCGGGTCGCTGCAATAACAGGAACTATCTGGAATGCAAGCAACAACAGATACGCCCACTTTTGCACACACACACACACACAGGCGCACACCACACGGCAAATGCTTGCACTTAACTTGAATTTGAATTTGTAACTGTGCAAATATCTCTGGCGCAGGACCGACTGAGTTATCGACTAGTCGATAGGCGGTGAACAAGTGACCAGGCTCAAAGGTCGCCATGACAGTTGAGGATGTTTTGCAAAACTGGAAAGTTTTTCCCGTGACGCATCGTCGTCTAGGCAATAACATAAAAACGGATTTAACAAAACAAACAGAGAAATGCGTTGTGTCATTACGGGTCGCTGTCAAAGGGTCATCAGCAATAACTACGTCAATGTGACGGAACACAGAGACAAGACACATCAATTAATATGTCATCCTCGCCTATGTGCTCATACATACATACATATGTATGTGTACATACATTTGTATGCACATACATATAGTACCTTCGAGACCTGATAACATGGTCGAGAGTAAAGTACAAAATTCCAAAGCTTTACTTTTTTTTGATTAAAGAAGCATTTTTGTTGAATTTGATAATCACTTTCGCTTTTATTGTTTTTGTAAATTTTTAAACACTAAAAAATACTAGACTAAACGTAGAGCATAATTAAAATCAAGGCAACTCAGTTGTTGTATGTTGTACATATATTGTATGCCACAACACTTAATAACTTAGGGAAGTTGGGGGAATAATTTTGTTATATTTTTGAACTAACTGCTAGATCGACTATGTTAGCTACAAACTATTTAAAACTTTGTTTTACAGGCAGCCTATGTTCGTATGCTTAAACTACGAATACGTAAAAGTTATATGTGATTTGGCCGTTACGCTACGTTACGCATAACGTATAACAGCGCTCGAATATACATATATGCATCTAAGTAGACAGCTTAATACGTAAAACTGTGTATTGGTATAGTAGAGTATAGTTTAGTAATAAGGTGTCCGTAAGTACGAGATTTAAGTTAAGCAATGCTTAAGTTGTTACGCCCATCTGTGCTGTGAGTTTAGTTTACCAATAGGTTTCAAACTTAATGGCAAATTAGATTTGGCAGGTAATTCGAAATGCAACGCAAGAAAACAGGCTTTGGGTTTTTGGCTGCGTTTTACATACACACATGCTATTTACTTTCGGCTTAACTGCAAGGAAAAAACAAAGATTATTGTTGTTTCAATAGACACAAAGCAATATTTGAGAATTTACCTGATGCGGCGGCGCTTAAAACTTCTTGTTATTTTTGAGGTAGGCCTTGTGGCTCACCACCTCTCTCAGGCATTTGTCAGAGTCGATGCCTGTACCTCGCTGCTGGCACACCTTTTCCGTTTTAAGGACAAAGCACTGCGTTTGCACCATATTGAAGAAAAGCTTGCCAATCGTATTGGCGTCCTCGTCACTGGCCATTTTGAGGCAGGTGCGGAAACGCCGATCGCAGCTGCAGTGCGACAGCGTATACGGGCGATAATTGAAGAGCTCGTAACGATTAGACATGGCCGGTATGTAAATCTTGCAGTGGTCATGCTTCCGACAGCATTTGTCAGCCAGCGATGCACCTCCCAAATGATTGTATGTGCCATTGGCCAAGTTGCCGCGCCCGCACCAGCGCGTATTGGGCGCTATGAACCAATCGGACACCTGGCGACGTCTGCGCGAGGGGGCCATGTGTGCGTCTGCAATATTGTCGTCATCAATATCGTACGATTCGTGACGTAGTTGCTGGGCGCTGCTGCTGCTGCTGCTGCTGCTGCTTGTTCGTGTTGGTGTCGTTTTTGCTGTTGTTGTTGCTGCACTTGCAGCGGCAGCGACATTGGCAGGCAAAGGCAGCTGCTTAGCCGCGCACAGCTGCCAGGCGAACACAATTAGAATCAACAAATAAATGTAATTGCATTTCAGTGCGAATTTTGGTGCCATTCTGTCAATCTGTCTGTCAGTCAAACAGTTTTTCATTCAATGCTATAACGTATTCTCTTTTAAGGTTTCGCGCTGCGGCACGCTTCCTACTCAAGTGTCGTTTCGACTGCGAGACGCTGGCGTTTTATGTGCTCGCACGTTGCAGCTCGACTGGCGATTACGATTCGTGTTAAGGGTACGCGCAGGTGAATTAGCTTATCTTTCTCCGAACAGTGCTGTGCAATGAAACAGGTGTTTAGCATCCAGTGTAGCAAAACTTGCGCAAAAGCTCGCTGCTAGTCCTACAAGGCAAACGTCTCGCATCTTCGAGAATGCGAATTTGAGTATTTATTGTGCACAGCTCGCTGAACTTGCATTCAGTGTATATTTAATAAAAAAAAAAAAAATGCGCTGATAAATTGCTTTGGAAATGGTACATTTTGCTTTTTGCTTTTTTACCAAATGAAAACAACTCATTACTCAGCTGTTAAAGTGTTTAGCAGTTTACAACACTGGCCAGCAGCATCAATATTTTTGTGGTAGTCAACTATATTCAATATTAAAACAATTTGGGGCTAGCTTGAGTACGGCGCATGCATGTACGTTTTAATGAAATGCAGCGAACTCAACAAGATCAAAAACAATTGAAGCTGCACCAGCAGCAACAGCACACAGAACAGGACCAGCAGCAACAACAACAACAGCAGCAGCAGCACTATCATCATCATCACCACCAACATAACAGTAACAGTAACAGCAATGGGACGCGCATTGCTGGAAGCAGCAATACCACGCCCACAACGGCAACGAATACAGTTGGTGGGGCAACAGCAATAACACCGCCCCGGACCTTGGCGCTTAATCGGAACTATGCTGCATCTGACACATCGGGGGAACACGATGGCGATACAGACTATCCGGACTCGCGTTATGAATGCGCCATTTGCATAGACTGGCTGAATGAGCCCGTGCTGACGTCATGCGGCCATCGCTTTTGCAAGAGCTGCCTCAGCGATTGGCTGGAGAATCACAACCAGTGCTGCCCACTTGACAATAAGCAGCTCTCCGCGGAGCAGGATATCTTTCCCGACAATTATACGCGTCGTGAAATTGAGCAAATCAAGCATAAGTGCCCTAACTCGCCGCACGGCTGCGCCGTTGTGGCCTCGCCTATTGAGCTGCATCGACATTTGCCCAGCTGCCCGTATCGCCGGCAACTGCAACAGCAGCAGCTCGAGGAGAAGTGCCCTTTTGCTAGCATTAAGTGCGATTTTGTTGGTCGCCCGGAGACTAATCAACTGGAGGAGCATATCAAAACAGATATGCCGCATCACATGCAGCTCATGTTGCAGGCATTTCAACAAACTGCCATTGCTACTTGGCAGCCGCACAAGCCCAGCTCTAGCTCCCTAGAGAACGGCCATAAGACTGGCCAACTGGCACCACCACCTCAGTATGCGAATGGAGTTGACGAGCAAATCGTTCAGTCCATGTACCAGCGCATCGTTGTGCTTGAGCAACGTACACGCGAGCAGGAGACACGCATCGAGAATCTCAACAAGCAGTTGCGGCGCCAGCAGCCTATCGATGCGCGGTATAGCAACGGCACCATCGTCTGGCGCATCGAGCAGCTGAGCGCACTGGTCGAGCGTCTGCGATCCAATGCGAATAACCAAGTTTATTCACACGATTGCTATACATCACCGTATGGATACAAGTTCTGCGCCCGTCTCAACATACAGCCGCGGAAGCCGCATGTGCTTAGTCTGCACGTGCATCTGATGCAGTCGGAGAACGATTTCCATTTGGATTGGCCATTCAAGGGTCGCATCAAGTTGTGCATGGTGCATCCGGGCGATGCGAGCCTCTCCCAGCATGACACCATCATGACAAAGCCAGAGATTCTCGCCTTTCATCAGCCGCGCGAGGCTATCAGCACTCGCGGCTTTGGATTTCTCGAGTATGCCAACATATCCAATATTATGCAATTGGGCTTTTGTGCCGACAATCGGCTGCTAATCAAGATTGAGATTAACATTGTCTGAATCTCAACCTGAACTCAAGTAACCACATCCCATGTGCTCAATATACAAACATACGCACAGAAATGCATAGATACACTATAGACGCAATATATATATATATACGTATATTTTATATAGACCTTATACCCTGTACGAATATTAGTCACACGGATGGCAAAACATCACAGCAAAGCAATTTTTATACCGTAGTGTAGAGGCGACTTTATCCTAACTGATATATGTACAATGCATATATGCATATATAATAGCAATTTGAACAAGCCAATTTTTGTATACATTTACACGCATTTTATCGTTCAACATTTGAGGGCAACTGTTACATTCCATGCAACTCTCGAATACCCTGCCCGAGATGCAAACTTTGTATCCGCAGTCCAGTTAACACCAACGAAATGTCGAAGACGTTGGCAGAAGACCTCAGATGGTAATCAATAACAGTATCCAGTCATGCTATACCTACCCTTATACCCGTCTATATATTATTATTATTATTATTTTGATTGTGGTTTATACTTTTAATTAACTAGTTTTATGTTTTTTTTTAACTTTGTTATTTTCATATAATGTTTATAAAACACTTCCAGTCATTTTCATTGATTTTATCAATTGCAAACACAAAAACGTCCATTATGTTATAAGTTGTTCAATTATTTATATTTTTGCCTAGTTGACTATTTTAATCTTGGCATCTAAAGCGCAATATTCATGGCAGCATAGATACTTCAAATATAAATATTTATTACATAATAGATACACTTAGGCAATATATTGCATACACCTAGATAAGCAAACTAATAATTATGTGGTAATAAAATAGCGATGGCTATACAAATAATAAAGGAAACTTTTGTATCGATACGGAGTGATTATTTATATAAAGAACTATGTAAAAGCGCCCATTTTGATACCATGTTCCCATCAAAAATACAAATCGGTTGACCTCTTACTCAAAGACTTCAAATTTTGTATTCTGGTTGTCAAAATCGCAAATATATGAGATTTTTCGAGAATAGCTGTTTTAAAAGTAGAGCTTTTTGAAGAGTTTTATATATAGCTCGGCTGCCCCTAAAAAAATTGTATAAATTCAAGAAAATTATAGCATTTTTGTGTTTTTTTACACAAGCTGGAGACTGTAATTTGAAATATATATTCTTCTATACTATACGCAGAAAATGTTTATCAATATCTCGCATCATTTAGATAATATCAATAGGAAGCCAATTTGGAGACATGATTATTTAGCATTATTCAAATAAACGATTTAGTACTCATAAAGTACATACGAATTGAAAGTAATTTAGTTTTGTAAAACCTCCCCCAAAATTGACACGAGAAGGCTGGAATGTTTGGAAGGGTTGCTCAGCGCCGAGTTCAGGGTGTCTCCCAGGCAGGCACAGCCGACTAGAAGACGCTTACGGTCTTCTTGAGTTTTCTCTTTAGCAATCGCTGCCATGATTATTTGGGTATAATACAACCTGGGACTCTCTATCTCTCTCACTCTCCCTCTCTTTATATAGGCAATTATATTAAGTGAAATATTTGAGGTAGGTTTTTATGATACATTTGCATTTCCGATTTCCGATTTGATATTTACATTGCAAGCCCCACTTGAGGCTAATGTGATTAGATTAGACACAGCGGAAAACTATGCTACATGCCAGCTGCCCGTAGCCGCAACGGCAACAACTTTCACATGCTGCTCCTGGATCAGCTCAATTGTGACAGACTCCTCCAGCAGTTTCTTCGTATTTACGCCTTCGACTTCGATTGGCGTTGCTGGCTCCTCGGTCGATTTCGAAGCTGCTTTGGCATTTGCTCTTGCCCTGGCCCGAGCCGACTCGTGGGTACGTATGTGAGCATTAAGACCGCCCGATTGAGCGAACGTTTTGTCGCATAGCTGGCATGAATATTTTCGCTGGTCGGAGTGCAGCATCTTGTGAACGCGAAGCGCTTTTTTACGCTGAAACGTAGAGCCGCAGACATCACAAACGAAAGGTCGCAGATTCGTGTGGGAGACCGCGTGCACGTTGAGGTCGTGGAAGCTATAGAATGCCTTGCCACATACCTCACACTTAGCAGGTCGTTCGCCAGTATGACGCCGCATATGGGCGGTGAGTACGCCGCGATCCCGACAGGGACGGCCGCACACCTCACATATGCAGGGCATGCGACCGGTATGGCAAATGTTGTGCGACGTCAGCTCCTTTTGCGTATAGAAGGTGGCCTCGCAGTCTGGCTCCTGACACTTGTACGGTTTGATGCCGCTGTGTCGCTGGCGATGGCGCATCATGTTGCCGGACTGAGTGAAGGGCTTGCCACAGATGTCGCAGAATATGCCCGTGTGCTTCCATCGATGACCACGCAAATCGCGCTCCGTACGAAAAGTCTGATTGCACTCATTCTCATCGCATTTGTAGATCTTGGCGGGACCCTTGCGCTGTGCCCTGCGAACGTTGCCAGCTGTAGCTGGTGCTATTTTTGTTGGCTCTCCTGCAATCCTGTGAAGTTTTGCTGGCTTGCGAACATTGTGTTTGCCGCGCTTGTGGCTCTGGAGACTTCGCTTGGTGTTGTAGGCGCGGTCACATTGATCACACTGAAAGAGCATGTCCCTTGTGTTGTCCTTCTCATCATTGTTATCAGAAGCAGACTCCTCACTGACTGCAAGGCGGGCGTCTAGATGTCCGTCCACAACTGTTTTATTTTCTGAGGTCTGCGTTTGCAGCTCTACAATATTATTTGGTGCTGCTTCCCGTCGCCAGCGCCGGGCTTCAATTGTGCTAGTGTCATCCAAATCTTCAAATGCAGCAGTAACATCTGCATCTTTGTCAGTCTCGTGCTCCCGGTCAAGTAGCGCTATCTGTGCTAAATCAACATGTATATGCTCATTAGATTCGTGAAGGTCGTCATGTGCAATTGGATCATCCTCGGACTTAATGATTAACGGCTCGAACTCCACCGGCGCATCCAGATGCTGTTCTTCTGCCTGTTCAGTGAACAACTTGCAGTCTTCAGTCTCCTTTTCTGTCTCCGTCAAATGAATCCGGCGAAAGTGCTGAGGAAATCCTGCGTATGGCACTCGCTGGCCACACAGCGCACAGCATACATCGTAGTTTGTGGGGCTAACGCAAAGCACCTCACCGCAACGAAAATTAAAATACGGCCGAGGGAATTCAGGCTGCAATTTAATCATCCTGTGGCACACTGATTACAGTACAGTTGCTTTAAAACTGGGCCCATTTAACATAGGAGTCGCATAAAGCTCCAAATTGAAGCCGCCGTCGCACCAAACACCTCACAGCTGTAAGCCGATAACACTTTCGATTATTATATTCTACTTAGCTATCGATGTGTGTTTTATGTACTTTGAAAACATTGAAGTTAATATGAATGCACAAGTCATGCCTTCATACATGTCTCCCGTATCTTATAATTTGATATCAACTATATTAACATCTATTACCGTAGTACAATAGTTGGTTTATTCCATTTTAATCGATAGTATACGTTTTTCATTGCGTTCAGTGTTATATACAACATTTAAAATAACTTGCATTTTACACACTGGCAGCAACCGCCCGTTGTGTATTCGGGTATACACTTTTTTTTTCTAACTGCAGCCACTGTATTGATTTTTCGCCCCCGCTTTTACATTGAACTTTACGGCACAAGCAGGACATAAACATAAAAATCAATTGTCAAAATGTCGGAGAGCGCCGCTTCAGCCAGCAATGCCAATGCAAATGACAAGATGGCAAGCTTGCTGAAGGAGGCGGAAAATTTAAAAGCAAAGTTGGAAGAGGAGCGCCAAAAGCTGAACGACGTCAATCTGTCGAACATTGCGGAACGGCTGGAGCAGATTGCATTCGTGAATATAAAGCCCCGCAAGGTGCTAAAGGGTCACCAGGCCAAGGTGCTTTGCACCGACTGGAGTCCTGATAAGCGACATATTATCTCATCATCCCAGGATGGACGCCTTATCATTTGGGATGCGTTCACCACAAACAAAGAGCACGCTGTTACAATGCCCACAACTTGGATAATGGCATGTGCGTATGCACCATCTGGTAATTATGTTGCCTGCGGTGGACTGGACAATAAAGTAACCGTATATCCGATTACCTCGGATGAGGAAATGGCCGCTAAGAAGCGAACCGTTGGCACACATACCAGCTACATGTCATGCTGCATCTATCCCAACTCTGATCAGCAAATACTCACCGGTAGCGGGGATTCAACATGCGCGCTGTGGGATGTAGAATCTGGGCAATTGCTGCAAAGTTTTCATGGTCACTCCGGCGACGTTATGGCTATCGATTTGGCGCCAAATGAGACGGGCAATACCTTTGTCTCTGGTAGCTGCGATCGCATGGCGTTCATTTGGGACATGCGCTCCGGTCATGTGGTGCAGTCCTTTGAGGGCCACCAATCGGATGTGAATAGTGTTAAATTCCATCCATGCGGCGATGCCATCGCAACTGGCTCCGACGACAGCAGCTGTCGGCTGTACGATATGCGCGCGGATCGCGAGGTGGCCGTCTTTGCCAAGGAGAGCATTATTTTTGGCGTCAACTCGGTGGACTTTTCGGTCAGCGGGCGTCTGCTCTTTGCCGGCTACAATGACTATACTGTCAACCTGTGGGACACGCTGAAATCGGAGCGCGTCTGCCTTCTGTATGGCCATGAGAATAAGGTCTCCTGCGTTCAAGTCTCGCCCGATGGCACTGCGCTATCGACAGGCAGCTGGGACTACACTATACGTGTGTGGGCCTAAATTCTCGGACATGCATAGTTTATTATATATGTATGTACATATATGTAAATTGAACCTGTTGAGCACGCTCCTAGGACTGCTCCCGCTGCTTTCAAAATGTATGTAAAGCATTTTGTTGTTGTTTTTTTTTTTTATTTGTTGTGTAATATTACAAGTGTTGCGCTAAATACTATATACTTTAAGTATTATGAAAGGCAAATGCACGCAACCAAACCAAAGAAAAAGCTCGTGTATTTCTATGTAAAACTCATTATGCGCCTAGTTCTAAGTTCCTGTTCGAAATAAATGTTAAAGTGAATCCAAATTTGTTTACTGCAGAAAAAGATTGAATGGTAAACGTGGGCGAACTTGATGATGTATTTTAGACAGCCTCAGTTACATGCGTGTAATGTATGCATGATAGCTTCAAATCTGTTGTTACTTATAAAAAATAATACTTTATAAGGTCAAAGATACCTTTTTCAAAAGTGTTGCACATTTTATACAATAATTGCAATGCCCTGCAGGGTTTACCTATCGAGAGATTTTTCCAGACTTGATTTTGTTTTAATTGTCGCACAACTGCTTTCTGTACGACTAAATCTAATAATAATTAACATGATAACTAAGTTGTATGCTCCAAACCAGGCCGCTCCGTATACTAATAGGGCGGACACAACATCGCTGATCCAGCATCGACAATGCCACTGACGGCCTGAGCTTTGTGGCCGCGCATATGCGCCGAGAGACCAGCTGCCTGGGCATAAGCGTTGCCGCAGATTTTGCACTTAAACTTTTTAATGCCCAAATGCAGATGCTTGTGGTGGTAGAGCGCTTTGGGACGCGAAAATGCAGCCTCGCATTTATCGCACTTGTATGGCCGCTCCGTTGAGTGCATGGCTTGATGCTCATTGAGCAGCGACTTGGAAGCAAAGCACCGCTCGCATGTCTGGCACTTGAATGGTTTCTCGCCGGTATGCGTGCGTCGATGAACAATTAGTGCATCGCGGTAGCGCGAACGATACCCGCACAGCTCGCAGATGTAGTTCCGTTCCGTGCTGTGCACGCGCCGATGCGAGGTGAGATTGTGCTGGCTGACAAAGGATTTGCCGCAGCTCTCGTGCTCGCATTTGTACTTTCGCAGACCAGAGTGGCCTTGGACATGGCGTAAAAGCGTGCGCGAACTTTTGTAGACCTTGTTGCACAAGTTGCATGTAAACTCTGTATGCACCTTGCGACGATGCGTTTCCAGGGCTCGATCCACGTCGAATGCGGCATCACAATCATTGCACTTAAAGCCCTTCGGATGCGGATGGCTCATTTTAAGGTGTATGTTTAAGTATTTTAGCGTTGTGTATTTGCCAGCACAGTATTCGCAGTTGTACTCCTTGGGTTGCCGTTCTTTCTGCGACATAAAGGCCAAATAATACAAGCAGGATTAAACAATTTGAACAGAGCTCACCTTAAAAACAGACTGCATTTCCATTTCGCTATCAGCATCGTCATCGGCATCGCTAAAGCCATGAGCATCTTCTGTGGCTGTGTCCAGTTCGTCTGCACTATGGGAACTGTCTTCGCATTCAGCATTTTCATTGGCTTCCATCGACGCTGGCTCCAATTTGACCTCATTGAGGGCGTAGACACGCAATGGCTTAATGGTCACTGCTTTAGCGACGTCGTCATCATCATCCGATCCATTAGCTGATAAAGCTGCGCTGCATTCACTCGCGCTTAATTCTGACATTGGCCTTGGTGTTGAATTTATCAGATGGAACTGCTGCTGTACCTCAATGGTGTCTGCATCCGCCATGGCGGTGGCCGCATGTGTACGCGGCTTTCCATGGCTGTCGAAATGCACATTGCGTATGTGCATTGAAAAATCTTCAAAGGCAAAGTGCTTCATTTCGCACAGGCAGCAAACCAACTGGAAGCTGCAGTACTCGTTGTCGCTTTCGTAAAATATCTCGCCGCATTTTGGGCGCAGCTGCTGATTTGCATGCAGTCGCGAGAAGTCCACATTGATAAGACACTGCTTTAACATGCTGCGGATGGTTTTATTTCAATAATTGCCATACAAATAAATATAAACAAGTCAACTGGCAGGCGAATACCAAAACAATGTCTCGATAGCACAATTTCGATAACAATAACAACATTATCGAAACAACGTCAGTGTTGGCAAACATGTTAGCGCGCTAATTTGAATTATTTGTCTCGATTGCCAGTGGCACTTTTAAGTTGGTTATGGCAGTTGCTCGCCCGTAACGCTGGCGATGCCAACGTTTGTGCTGCGCATAGCCAGCTGCCTGTGCAAAGGACTTATCACACGATGCACACTTATACTGCTTATCTTCGGCATGGAGCGGCTTGTGATGATAAAGAGCACGCGCACTGAGAAATCCTACATTGCAATCCTTGCACATGTAGCGAGTGCGCCGCTGATGTGCGTCCATATGGCGTTCGTTGTGTGTGGTCAATTGGTATCGCGCCACGAAAGAAGCATCGCATATGTTACAGCGAAAGGGCTTCTCCCCAGTATGACGACGTGTGTGCACTTTCAAATTTCCGCGTATGCGAGTTCTATAACCGCAATGCTCACACATATGACGCAGTGCGTCCTTTTCGGTGCCAACGTTTTTGGTCTGATGCCACTGTTGCTGTCGTGGATTTGCAGTCATTGAGCTATGCTTCTGGTTTGAACTTGACTTGAAAATTTCCTTTAATATAAATGCGAAATAGTGAAGTAACAAAATTGCGTACACACGATGCACTTACCAAAGCCTCGCCGGGCATTTTCACGCAGTGCATGCTAAATTTAATCGTTGGCATTAGGTTAAACGCGCGATTTGGCATTTGTGGCTCGATTAATTGTTGTCAAAAGCAGCTAAAATTAAATTACAAGACATCTAACCGCACCCTTTCCCTATCCCTTAGCCCGCCGCCTTCAACACAATTGAAATATTTCGATGCTCTGCAACAGAAGCCCGATCGATTGCAAAACCGATAGTTTTAGTCGATTTTATCGATTGGTAAATTTGAATTTCGCTCATTAAAAAATGAGAACGGAATTTATGAAAAACGAGCTGATAAGAATTTAATAGCTTAGACTATTTATGTATTCTATACATACATACATACATATAGAAAAAGATGTTTCTGCCTAATCTATGCCTGAGTTCTTAAATATAAAAACAACAACAAATTACAAATTACACATAAAATAGATTAATGGTGGAAGATATGATTTAGCACATAATTGCAGTGTATATAACAGATTAGCGATATTAGCCATTGAGCTCATCATTGCGATGCTTTCGCATGTGCCCAGCCAGTCCCGCTGCCTGTGCATAGGCATTGCCGCACAGCTTGCACACAAACTGCTTTGTCGCCGTGTGCAGGAACTTGTGATGATAAAGGCCTTTCTGTCGGGAAAACGTGGCGCCGCATACTTTGCATACGTGTGGCCGTTCCGTCGAGTGCATGGCCATGTGCTCGCGCAGACCCGAGTGAGATGGGAAACGCTTGTCGCACACCTTACAGCCAAACGGACGCTCACCCGTGTGGCTGCGTAAATGGACGCGCAGCGTCTCCTTGTTGCGGCAGCTGTAGCCACAGCTCTCGCAGACAAAGTTTTTCTGCTCCGAATGGACCTTGCTGTGGTTGCGCATGTGGCGCGTGGTGAAAAAGCGTTTATCACAGCCCGGATGGCTGCATGGCACATTGCGCTCGTTCGTATGCTTCAGCTGATGGCGTTTTAGCTCGTGGCGTGTCTTGTAGCGTCGGCTGCAAATCACACACGGCGCTCCGCCGTGCACCTTAACCACATGCTCGTCCAGCAAGCGTAGTCGCGGCAGCTGCGCATTGCACTCCAGGCAGACAAACGCCTCGGTTAGGTTAATATCATGATCTCGCTTCACGTGCTGGCGCAATGTATATTTGCCATGGTAGACTTTGTCGCAGTGCTCGCATTTGTATTTGGTGGACGGCTTGGATGCATGCACCTTTGGCGGCGCATAATCCACGTCGACGTCATCATCATCATCATCAACATCCGAGTTAACAACATCGGAATCCGCATAGTTGTGCTGTCGCTCAATGTGGCGCTCCAGCGACTTTTTGCTTTGATACGTCTTATTGCAATGTGTGCAGGCCAGCTGCTCTTTTTTGGCTTTGAGTGTGCCATCCGGACTGATGGCATCCGTGTTTTCGACGTCCGACTCAATGTCCTCATCGTAGTCCGCTTTGTGGTCACGTAGTTGCCGCAATTGCTCTGTCCCGCGGATGGGGTTACTGTCCCACTTCATGATGCTGCTGGTTAGGCCAACGGGGTCTTCCACGTCATCATCATCTTCGTCGTCGTCCAGCAGTTGTTTAGTTTCGTCTAGAAAATCTTTCCCACTGTTGCCGCTCAAACCATCATCATTGGCTAGTTCGTACCAGGAAAACGGATTTACTTGGATTGTCGCCTGCGAGTCCAAGTGCAAGTGCGGGGAGTCTCCATCCATCTCCTCCTGTTTTGGCAGTAGCGCCTCCGTTTTGAGCAGGCCGTTCTCGAAGTGCTCGTTCTGTATGTGCAGCAGAAAGTCGGCAAACACAAAGCTCTTCATGTCACAAAACGCACAGTCAATGCGATAGCTATGCAAACTTTGGAAGTATACCTCGCCGCACTTGGCATTGGCAATCCCCGCAAATGTATCCGGCTTAAGTGCCTTCAGCATTTTAATAAAGTTATTTATATTTTTGCTAACTACTGCACATTTGTATGTTTTCAAATTGTTTTTGGCCGCAACAAGCTGCGCAAAGCAACGCAAACAAATTGTGTTTGCTATTCAATTCTCACTGACTGGCTAAACAGATGATTTGTTTTGGCATTTTGCAGCACTGTATTCTTATCGGACGCAGCAGGTCACACTAAAAGGAAACCAATTGACTGGCGCCAATTGGAAAGCAACCCAGTCTATATACATATATCTACAAAAATTATAGATTTGGATATGATATGCGGCATTCTTAGTCATAAAAATATATTTTAGCTCAAGAGTAAAGATTTTTTTTGATAATTCAGCGTGTCTATGAAACCTTCTTAAGAATAAAGTCAAATGACTCTTAGCTGCCAATTTCCAGAACACGTTTGCTGTCAAAATTGATCAAAAAATATGGATCGTAGAATAGGAGCATATGAAACGAGATAATAAAAACCAATATATATTTACATATATAAGGCCAAGTTGAAAATAACACCTCTCAGCCACTTGCCAACGCAAAGTGGGCTCGGTTTGTCTTGACAAAAGAAACTACATAAATATGTATGTATGTACATTAGTTTATTAGAACTTCGGGCTTAACATGTATTAGCTGGTGCTGCCGCAAATAATTAGCATTTATGAACTTTTTATCACACTGCTCACAGCTGTATTTGGCCAAGCGGTAGTGTTTCTTCAACTTGTGGGTGCTCAGCGTGGAGGCACTGCGGTAAGTGTTGCTACACAGCTCGCAGGCAAAAGGCAAATGCGCCGAGCTGGTGTCAGCATTATCCGTCGAATCGGCCTTCTCTACACTGAGATTCGCATGTAGCTTGCGTCTGTGGGTATCCATTTGGTTGCGGGTGTAGAAGCACTTGTCGCAGACGGTGCAGGCCCAGCGACGCACTTGTGTGTGCCGCAACTCGTGGCTAAGTAGTGCACTGCGGTGGGTGAATAGCTTCTCGCAATGCTGGCATTGCAGCGCCTGGCGCTGCTCATGGGTGCGCAAATGTCGCGTCAGCGTGGAGATCGCGCGAAACTGTTTGCCACATCTCTCGCACTGATGGGGCTTGCTGCCGGTGTGTATATTTAAATGCGTGTCAAGCAGATAGCGCCGTCGAAAAGTGCGTCCACAATATGTGCATATGTTTGACTTATTGCGCGGCTTATATGGACGCTGCTCCGGCTGCTTACCCAGATGTGGGCCATCATAAGCTGCGCTACAGTTGGAGTCGACATTGTCAGTGGCAATGGTAAGTGCATCTGATCGACTTTCTGTTATTGCTGCCACTGACACTGAGATCGATGGCATCAGAAGCACGGGCTCATCTAGGCAATCAGAGGCACTCGTGGAGTCGCTAGCTTCATGAGTAAGTGCATCTTTTAGCAAATCACCTTTTCCGACGCGGATCTCTGCCTGCAAATGCTCATTGCAGAAGTGCCGCCGGAATGTATCGTAGTCCACGATGGATATGCCACAAATGCATATTATTAGGAATTTTGACTCTAATGATTCGTCGCAATGTATTTCGGCACATTTCCTGTTAATGTTGATTTCTTCGACCATCACCAAATTGTACTTACCAACACTAGTCTCCCTCGTGCAATATATCGAATTGAAATTTCCACCGGCCTTCCGATACTTGTTTTTATCGACAATAGCAACACGCGATTTGTAATTGCTAGACTGCATTGCAAATTCGTGTACGTCTTAATTAACGTTAAACCAAATACAATTGAGTGAACAGCTAGCGCTGCAACGGCACAGAACATGCATCCCGATCTTACCGAGCGCATCCTACAGCACTTGGACGCCGTCGACAAAGTTGATACATTAGAACTTGCCACGCAATTCAATGTTGACCACCAAAAAGTTGTCGGTGCTTTAAAAAGCATACAGGCACATGGCGATTTGGTCAAGGCAGAGACAGCCACGCAGAAGACTCTGGGACTAACCGACGAGGGTCAATCCGTGGTCGAGAATGGCAGCCACGAGGCCATCGTCTATGGTTTGGTGCCGGCGGAGGGCATTCCTCAAGCAGCGCTGATGGCTGCCGGCGGAGCCAATGCCAAAGTGGGCTTTAGCAAGGCTATGTCGCAGGGCTGGATACTGTTGGACAAGAGTGTGAATCCGCCGCTGATTCGGCGCAAAGTTGACCACATTGTCGACAATGTAAAAGAGCAGCTGTTGCTGGTGGTCAGTGGCAGGGCGCAACTATCTGCCAGGGACGTGACTGATTACAAGAAACGCAAGCTATTGCAGGAGACAACCACAAAGAGCTTCGTACTGAGCAAGGGACCAGAGTTCTCCACAACGCTTACTAAACTGGAAACGGACCTGACCATGGATATGCTGACCAGCGGCTTGTGGCAGCAGCTGAAATTCAAGGCATACAACTTTGATGCACTGGGCGCGACACCGACACGGGGTCATTTGCATCCGCTGCTCAAGGTGCGTACTGAGTTCCGCCAGATCTTTCTGGAGATGGGCTTCTCAGAGATGCCTACCAACAACTACGTGGAATCATCGTTCTGGAACTTCGATGCACTGTTTCAGCCACAACAGCATCCAGCACGTGATGCGCACGATACATTCTTTATCAATCATCCGGCGCAGAGCCACAAGTTTCCCCAGGAGTACTTGCAGCGGGTGAAGGCCGTACACTCAAAAGGTGGCTACGGCTCGTTGGGCTACGGCTATGATTGGAAGCTCTCCGAAGCGCAAAAGAATCTGCTGCGCACCCACACAACTGCTGTGAGCGCGCGCATGCTATTCAAACTGGCAAACCAGGAGGGTGGTTTCAAGCCAGCAAAGTACTTTAGCATAGACAAGGTGTTCCGTAACGAGACGCTGGATGCGACCCATTTGGCCGAATTCCATCAAGTTGAGGGTGTCATTGCCGATGTTGGCTTAACACTCGGTGATCTGATTGGCACACTATATGAGTTCTTCCGAAAATTGGGCATTACTCAGCTGGAGTTCAAGCCGGCATACAATCCGTACACGGAGCCCAGCATGGAGATATTCTGCTATCATCCTGGTCTGGCCAAGTGGATTGAAGTGGGCAACTCTGGCGTTTTCCGTCCGGAAATGCTGCTGCCAATGGGACTACCTGAAAATGTGAATGTTATCGCATGGGGCTTGTCACTGGAACGACCTACGATGATTAAGTATGGCATCAACAATATTCGGGATCTGGTTGGACCCAAAGTCGACCTCAAAATGGTTGAAGAAGGGCCCATTTGCCGATTGGATCACGTGTAACGTTGCATTTGCTATTTAAATCATAATTTTTAAAATTCATATTTGAACAGTAACAAGTTCGCGCGTTCGTAAACAATAAACCAACACTGTTTTGCAACACCGATAATCGGAGAAGTAACATTACTGGCTAGCTATCGAACAAGTCATCACAATAAAAACGCAAACAAAAGAAATATCGAAACTAAGGCTTTAAGTTTTGTTTTTGTTCTTAAAATATATATTTTTTTTTCTGTAACGTTGCCACTATAGATGATGGCTAATGCTGACCTAGAACTGGACAAGGAGAATACACAAACACTGCAGCAGGCCATTCATCTGAGCTTCGGCACTCAAAATGCCAGTGAACCAACAAAATCTCACATTTCGATTGGGCCAAAACTTGTTATACCACAGCTAAAGATACCGCAGATAAACGCCAGCACGCCAACCAGCGCCGAAGTACTTTCTGCAGAAGAACACCGTCGCGCCGCGGATGCCCATAATGAGCTGTTGCTCAATGCAATCAAACGCCGTCGAGAGCAGAGTGAAGCGAGTCATTCAGCCAGAGATTCATCCGCATCCTCCAAAGAATCCACTGATAGCCCATTGGTCAAACTACCCTTGCTAAATGGTATCAGTTGCGCGTTTACCATACCCAAGCTGCGAACGGCATCGGGTGAACCACTCGATGAGCCCCAATTCAACATACCTTTGCTTAACAAGTTGCGCAGCCAGAACAATTCGTTGGAGCTGACACAGCTGGAGAAGGGCGTGAACAAATTGAAACTAACTGCTGACGATGGTGGCGACAGCACCAAGCTAAAGAGTATTCAGGAAACGCAACAAGCACCGACGCCACTGATCGATTTGACCTCAACTGTAATTGCTATCAAAAAAGATGCACCACCACGCGAGGCGGCGAGTAAGAGGCGACACAAGCAAGCAGCAGCTATGGAGCACTTTGATATTCCATTTATTGGCTGCGATAGCCTTAACAGTGTCTCTGTTGGTATGCTGTTCAAAAAACGTCAGAGCAGTACATCGAGCGACTTTGAGGCGACTGTTACGAGAATTATAGAGAAATCCAGCGATGTTGGCAGTATGCTGGATGCGACAGTTGGCTATCCAAGACCACGGCAGCCACAGCTTAGGTACGCTGCCTCACCTCTGGAACTGCAGAATCTGAAGATGTGTAAACGGGTGGATTACGGTACAAATATTAAACGGTTTCGCTTCGATACTGCATCGCCCGATGAGATTGTTAAAGAGGCGCTGCAGAAATCCTGGCGCATATCGCGCACATAGTCTAAGTATTAGCTATGCTTTATGCCTAAGTGTACAAGTTGACATTAAAAATTATTTAATATATTTTTAGCGATGAATTCACACCGACATCGATTCATTAATTTATTTGCCAGGCGTTTTCTTTATCGATATTTAGTTAGTATCGATAATCTGAAAAACATCGCTCTTGCTGAATACATAATTTCAGACAAAAGAACATACACATTCGCGCACACACACATGTACACAGCAGTAGGCATAGACACAGACGAAAGAAGAACAAGCAGCAGAGGAGAATGCGAATAAGAACTGCGTATATGTATGTGGAAATACAAAACAGCAGACACAACGAACAGTGTGCTTTTTCGGCATAGATCTCAAACCTCAGACGAATTAAATCAACGCAATTAAAACGCACAATCTAATCAAAAACCATCGACAAATAAGCCGCTGGCATAAATTGTGATCAAACAGCTGTGGAAGTGGAAAGGGCACCAAAAAAGTAATCATAAAGTGCGAAAGGTCAGCAGCAGGAACATTTCGCTGTATATAAAACTGTGTGCTTGTGTGTGTATGTGTATGTGTGTCTAGCTGTCACTTTCTTGCGCGCGCACAAGACATACACAAATTGAAATCAGCGACAACCCCTCCCCCACAACCCATCAAAGACAAAACTTGACATACGCGCCCGGTTCCGGTGCCATCGAGCCACCGCCGTTGGTCAGTTACCCGTCTCTAGACCCATCAACAGCGCAACACTCGGTTGCAATCGCATACATATAACAAAAAAAAAGTGGAAGTGCGCGTTGCTTTGGTTGCATTTCCTTTTTGGTACTGTTGCTATCTATGAGATTATAATCCACATTCAGCTCCAGGCATTAAGCGCAGGTGCCGGTGCCAACGTTGCCGTCGTGCTGCTGTTTACATGTGGAAGTTGTTGTACAGGTAAAGTTCGTGTATATATACATAGTTACACTTTTACTGTATGTGTATGTGTGTATGTGTGTGTGTTTTTTTTTTTTTTTTTTTTTTTTTTGCAGCTCCGTTCCATGTTTGCTATTAGCAGCTAATGGGCTGCTACCAATATGTTCCAGATGCCAGTGGCTGGGCACACCTAAATAATGAGCTTTGCTTCTCGATTGCCATAGAATTTGTGTGATGTGTGACCAGGGTGCAGTTAATTTATCGCCCTAACTAATCGTTTTTGCGTTCGCACTTTTCTGTTCAGAACAAGTCTGTTCAATACGACGAAATTCGTTTAACCTTCCAATACTAATTAAATCAACACAAATACCACACCAGCTTGGAGGGATACGCAATACAAAACGAGGAAAGGCCTCCAATACATACATGTACATACATATGTATATGAGAAAAAGCTGCCTTATTTACGCTTGTTATAATTTTCCGATATATAACATCTCACTTATCACAAGGATATTTTCCGTTTGCTAGTTCTACTTGTTTCATAGATGGCCTCCGGCTTGGCGCTCATACGTGTGTTTGTCTTTGCAGACAAGTGACCTTGGCATAAAACGCCCCCACACACCTTCACACCTAGCTCGCACAGCTATATCGTCAGCTGGCTGCAGTTGTTATTGTCAAAGAGCAAACAGAAATCGTTGGATTGATAATACACGACTCTACCCTTCCTGGCCTGTAGCTACTGCTTGTGCACAAACACACACACACACACACACACACGGACAGACTCGTAATTATCACAAACAACGCCATCATATGGTCTCATGCTTTTTTATCAAGCAGACAGACTAGAGGGAAATCATTGTAGTCACACACATACACTTGCATGCAAATTATCAAGTTTTAATTACATATTTTAGCAGCACGCATACACACACATACATTCGCAGAGCTAAAGAGTGAAAAAACTAACTGTTATACAAATTTTTAGAAACGCTGACAACAACAAAGGACGCTGCAGAGAATCCAGAGGAGCCAAACAAAACATAAGACCTCAGCAGAACCAGAGTATTGTGCAGCTTTAATTGCTGTAGACCGACCTTATCAATTGCAAACTGTAAACACTCCGGCGATTATTAACGAAGCAGACCGTCAAGACTGGAATATAAGAGCTAAAGGAGTTGCTGGAGCAGAGGTGGTGGCAGGCACGCGTGTTAAGCGTTAAGCCGGCTTTGTGTGTTGTACGCGTGTGCGGGGGAGGGGGGCGCGGTTGAGTGTCCACTATTCGTGAGATGTTGCCATTCACTCCGCAAGTGGTTAAACGTTTGTTAGCACTCAAAAAGGGCAACGAGGACAACAGTGTCGAGGGCAAGTGGTCCGAGAAGGCCGTCAGGAATCTGGTAAAGAAGATCAAAAAGAATTCACAGATTGAGGAACTAGAGCGCGCCATCTCCACACAGAACTGCAATACTCGGTGTGTGACTGTGCCGCGCAGCAAGCCCGCTGCCACCGGCGAAAGCCTACGCAAGGGCTTACCGCACGTCATCTATTGCCGACTGTGGCGCTGGCCCGATTTGCAGTCACAGAATGAATTGAAACCGCTCGAGCACTGCGAGTACGCGTTCCATTTGCGCAAGGACGACATCTGCATTAATCCGTATCACTATAAAAAGATTGAGCTATCAATATTGGTTCCCAAATCGCTACCAACGCCCCCTGACTCCATTGTCGATTATCCATTGGACAATCATACACATCAGATACCAAATAATACGGAATACAATGCTGCAATAATACGCAGCGCCTCGCTCAGTCCGCCACAGTATATGGAATTGGGTGGCAGCAGCAGCAACAGCAGCAGCAACAACACCACAGCAACTGGAGCCGGCGGCTACCAGCAACAGCAGCAGCAGCAACAACAACCAAACTCGCCGCTATCCTTTGGCAGCGTAGTAGGCGTGGGCCAGAACTTGCCGCCAGGCAGCTGCAACATGGACTCGCAATCCAGCGTGCTCAGCGTGGGCAGCAGCATACCCAACACGGGCACCCCGCCGCCGGGCTATATGAGCGAGGATGGCGATCCAATTGATCCAAATGATAATATGAATATGTCGCGGCTAACACCGCCCGCCGATGCCGCACCAGTGATGTACCATGAGCCGGCCTTCTGGTGCTCCATATCCTACTATGAGCTAAATACCCGTGTGGGCGAAACCTTTCACGCCTCACAGCCATCGATAACGGTGGACGGCTTTACCGATCCATCCAATTCGGAGCGCTTCTGCCTGGGCCTCCTCTCTAACGTGAATCGCAACGAGGTCGTTGAGCAAACCCGTCGCCATATTGGCAAAGGCGTTCGCCTCTACTATATTGGCGGTGAGGTCTTTGCCGAATGCCTGAGTGATTCGTCAATCTTCGTGCAGAGTCCCAATTGTAATCAGCGCTATGGCTGGCATCCGGCAACCGTTTGTAAAATACCGCCTGGATGCAATTTGAAGATCTTCAATAATCAGGAGTTTGCCGCCTTGCTCTCCCAATCGGTATCCCAGGGATTCGAGGCAGTTTATCAGCTAACGCGCATGTGCACCATCCGCATGTCCTTCGTTAAGGGCTGGGGCGCCGAATATCGCCGACAGACGGTTACCTCAACCCCCTGCTGGATCGAACTCCATTTAAATGGACCACTCCAGTGGCTCGATCGTGTACTCACCCAGATGGGCTCGCCTCGTTTGCCCTGCAGCTCCATGTCCTAAGTGTGGCAGCAAAACAAAGCTCTTCGACATATGTACATGTACACATATATATATTTATATATATATATATATGGAATATATATATATTTATATATATATATATGGAATATATATATATTTATTTTTTTTTATCTATTCCACAAAGCGGAGCAATTAAAACACAAGAAGTGAGAACAAAAAACTAACAAGAAGTGAAAAGAAAGGTAAAAAAGTTGCAGTCGGAAGATACCGACTGCCGGATACTCTGTTCCCAGTGTGTTTATACGACGAGTTGGAAAGGAACATGGCAAAAATATATAAACGTATGTATCTCGTCTTATATGGAGATCATCAATAGTCCTTAAAGGAAATTTGGTCACTAGCTTTCAAACAGTTTGGCTATAAAGCGTTTTTCTTTCCCCCCCCCCCCCCCCCCCCCCCCCCCCCCCCCTAAATGCCGGAGGGTGGATGTGGGTGTCGTAAAAATCGAAATACTTGTACCTTAACCAAACATATAATAGTGTCAACAGACGTTACGGACATTGTACTAACCATTATTCAAATTATGTTTTCCTTTGGGAGCAGAGTACAAAATCAAAATAACAATTTTGAGAGCGCATTAAATTAGATGTAGCTCATGCAGTTTGCACAGCGCTACAGAAAAAGAGAACTTCTATATTCTATCTATATACATACATATACACAAATACGAGATCATGTATTTTGCGTTACATGCTTAGGGTTTTAGTGCGTAGGAATAGGCAGATGGGTTGGGACGATACGACAGGCATTTTTTGATAAGAATGGACGGCTCCAAATTTTAAAACAACAAGAAAAATGAACATTTTATACACAGTTTGTAGACATAGGAGAAAGTATAAATATGAAGACAACTAAAAATGAAATAGATCCTGTTTAACAGTGTTTGCAATCGCGCGCGACGGATTCAAAATTCTTTGTGAAAGAAACAAAGCAAACGGTGATTTGGGTAACGTTTTTCTAAGCTTGGAACAAAAAGCATGAAATGATACAAAAAAAACAAAAAACAAAAAAAAAAACAGCAGTAACTGGGATTTTTCAAGCTTGAAGCTTACTACACACGTAAATACATATGAGCTAACTTACCACATTTAAATATAAATGTTAACAAATTAAAATATGTCATATGAATGTTGTTCGAACGTTTCAATTTTTTGCTTCATGTGTGTGTGTGTTTAAATCTTTGAATAACATAAATCAAGCAAAACGCAAAGAGAAGGCGTTTGTTGTCGTTTTAGTAGTAAAAACAAATCAAGCAAAAAAGTAAACAACACTTGCCCAACAAAGTCTGCATTTGTTGTTTTCTTACAAAAAAAAACAACCTATGTTATTTGCATTAAAAATTGTATCTGCATTTTTTGTCTGGCAGGTGACTTGTTTTTTTTTTTATTTTTATTTTTTTTACACATTTTAAGTGTTTAGCTTTCCCACGCTTTGTGTGCATGTTGCAAATGTCATAGAAGGCGAAATATTTTTAAGTTAACGTTTAACTCTTTTTTCTTTTGGCATAATTGCAAATTTGTTTTGTTTTACTTGTAAAATGCAATTTGTTACAACTAAAAATACAAAACAGTGTGGCCCTGCAGGCTGCAGTACAGCGTGTGATGCTGATTTATATGCGGCTTTGTTGCCGGTAAGCTGGTTACATTTGTATTTTTACTTGTTTTAACTGCACTTTGACAGTTCAGCTGCCGTATGTTAGTATGTGTAAGAGAGAGAGAGAGAGGGCGAGGGCGAAGAGTCGAGTGTGGCCAGACAAGAATTCGGCAGTTGAGCTAGCACACAAGTCCCAAATTTCGCTTGCATGAATACATATGTACGTATGTATATGCATATTTTTGCTAAAACAAATGTAATGTTATATTTAAAAATAACTGGGAGTAACATATGTATGGAAAATAGAAGAAAACCAGAACCAAACTCAAAACACATTTAACGTATCTGCGCGAACGAAATAAAACTGACGCTGAAATTGTAACTGTAAAACTGAGAAAACCAATATGCGCAAATGAAAAAGGCAAACAACCAATTACCAATACATATTAATATAATATACATACATATATCTTATATACATACATACATAAATGCATGCAACAGGCGATCAGGCCTAAAGATAAAAATATAAATTAAAAAAAAAGTAAATGCAAAAAAGCAAACAAAAAGAAACCATTCAAAACAAAAACCAAGAAACAATTCTATATGTATAAATCGTATATTTAAATAAACCTTATATTTTAGAACAAACGCCCAATTCAATCGCAACCTTTGACTTTGTGCACCTTCAAATGTTGTTTATAATTCGATTTGCGCAAAAAGCACGATCCACACAGCGCACAGCGAAAGGGACGCAATCGCGTGTGCGCAATCTGATGATGGTTCAGCTCCGAGGAGCTGAAAAAGCGCTTGCCGCAGTCCGGATGCGGACAGGCGAAGTCCCGCTGATTATAGTGTCGCTTCAAATGCGTATTTAGATAGCACTGATCCGTTAGAATACGTCCGCAGATGGGGCAGGTATAGCTCAGCGAGGATGTGTGTGTGTCCGCGTAGCCCGTTCGCATTTCTTTCTGCTCATCCTGTTCCTTCTGATCCTGCTCCTCTTCTGCTTCAATATCTGCGGCAGTGTGCCTACCGCTGCCGCTGGCATGCTGCAGCTTCATGTGCATTCGCCGCGCGTGTATGGAATGGAAGGACATGCTGCAGCTGGCCAGAGTGCATAGATAGGGTTTCTCGCCGGTGTGCAGGCGCCTGTGCACCGCCAAATAGTTGGCAAATCGGAATCCCTTGCCGCAGATGTCGCACTCGTATGGCCGCTGGTCGGTGTGGGTGACCGAATGGATGCGTAGCTTGTTCAGCTGGCGGAATCCCTTGCCGCATACATCGCACACATGGGGGCGCTCGTTCGTGTGCGTCATCTTGTGTATGCGCAGGCCGTAGGCATCGCTGAAGCTGCGTCCGCACAGATCGCAAATGATGATCGCCTGCTGTTTCGTGGACGTTGCTCGCTTCGCCTTGGGCTGGGTCTTCTTGGGCTTGCCAATTGACAGTTTCGTCGGTTTCTGCGCCTGTCAAGAGCTGCGCTATGAGAGTTTGAGGCACAACAAAAGTGTCTTACCACTCACCTGCTGCACGAGATCCAAGCCAGCAGCTGCTGCCGGCAAAAGCAGCACATCGCTGTCGGCCTCCAGATCGCCCAACTGCTCAAATAGCTGCACATCCTCTGTCAGGCAGAAGGCATAGCTGTCATCCGGCTCCAGCTGATCCAGCTGCTCCTGCTCGATCACGAATTGCTGCTTCGGCTGACACGGCTGGTGCATGTTTATCAAGTGGTCGCCCACCGATCTGCCGATATTATGTTATTTCTTCAGCACCGATAAGATTACGCCGTTTAACTGTTTCGCCTATAAAAAAAAAGAAGAAAATTCGACTTGGGCATAAACGGTGTGTCGGCTCCGGTCGCCGCTTCTTTTAATTTATTATTTGATCGTATTGCCCACTAATAAAATGAGACGGTAAATGCAATTGTTGTTGCTGCTGTTTTAATTCTATTTGCTATTTGCACTTTAAACATTTATTCGATTCCGATTCCAATTCCGATTTCAATTCCAATTCGTTTGCAACGCGCGCACTTTGAACCACTTCCCGGACTTGGGCTAACCAACAGCCAGAATAGTCGAGCATGCCCACTTATATACACATACGCATACAAAATATCTGTACACACACACACACACACACACACATACATGCACACATGCATATGTATATTGGTTATACAGGTCTTCAGTTTACGGTCCCAAACAAACAGTACTTTATCGACATGTGCACAGCGCACGGTCGTAGATAACACTGTGCAACAGAACTTTGAACATGGATAATATCGGCATATGCACACACACACACACACACACACACACACACACACATGTATGTTTGTAATAGGTAAATTAGTCATGCTCTAACGGTATCATAACAATTATCTAACCTTCGCCCGATTCACTCTATACACAATCGAAGTTGATAAATTTATTGTCTTTTAGCGTTTCTTCTTGATATTAAATGTTTCTATTTTTTAGGACAATCATTAAATATTGTAGTGGACCTAAGTATTTGAGTTTAAGTGAAACTAATTATTTCAAAAGACTCGAACAAATGAAATATGACCGAAACAGAAACATGTGTGCCTGGAGGGCCTTATTGATTTATCATGATCAATTGAAGATGAAAAATTGATCATTAAATTGAGCTTTGAGCTCAGCTTGCAAATCGTTTTGCAGAGAAAAATGTTTGATCGATTGTCGTAGTTTTAATACCCTACTTCCACATCATCATAATCTAGAAAGTATGTCTGTTAGCTTCAATGTCGATAATTAATTACCTGCTTCATTAATGTCTTGCCAAGCATTAGAGTTTCATTAGGCGTAGCAAGTTTTTGTATAATTTTATATAATAAAATACAAAAAAAAAAAACTAGTTTTAATATGAAATGCAAGCATTTAAATTTGACCTGATAGTTTTTTCTTATTAGTATTAATATTGATGTATAAATGATTCTTGGCTTGTGTCCTGATCAAGATATATTGCTGGATTACAATTTAAGTGACCACAAAAGGTGCTATTGTCATTTGTTTCTATATATTTTGGAATATTGATTCTTTAAATTGGAAAATAATATAATTGTTGCAATAACTTTAGTTTCTTCTCATACAAGACTTTATATAGAACTTTTCCACGATTTCTTTTTTAAGCAAATTTATTCAAGACATAATATATTTGGTAAAGCCATATTGTGTTTTTGCTTAACAATAGGATTTCGAATTAAAGAATCGTAGAATTGAAAAAAAAAAACACTTTTATAGAATAAACTTCACAGCGTACATTTTTGTATATTGACAATTCTAAAGCTATTAAAAATGGTACTAATCTCCTCCTCGAAATGGCCAATTGGAGCCGATAATGCTTGATAATGCAGAAATCAGAAATAGACAAACAAATGCATGTTGTCCAGTGTAATTATCAGAGTAAGGGTGACATTGAAGGGGCTCGCTCAAGCATTCAATTAGGCCTGCAAGCTGTGCAACTGGCTAATGCGATAGCCAGCACGGTCTAAAGCGAGCTAGCAATACGTCATATAATATTTACGAATCATGCATATATACATCATGTACATGTACATATATAATTAAGGAACAGCTTTGCGTATTATTACTTGAGTCCGGAAAGAATGCAAACGACTAAAGCAATTTCATACAACTAAATTTTATGGCCGCTATGGCAAAAGGTAAATAAATAAAATATGATATTAATTTGATATCGAGAGATTGTGGCTACACTTTGAACTTTTGCAGGAGGTGGCGAAGCTCCCTGTTCTGGCGACGCAGAAAGACTACCTCGGCATCGTATTGCACACGCATCTTAAGGACCTCGACATAGTGGTTAAGACCATGCTCCAGCGTCTTCCACAGATGGGTCTTTGAGTCTGGAAAGATGTTGGTGAATTGGCGCCAGAACGCTTGGATTTCCTTATCATTGAATTGAATCAGTTCGGCCTCTAAGCTGCTCTCTGAGGAGCTGCCATAGATTTGCTTGTGCTTTTGGTTTGTAAAGAGATTCATGGCGTGCAGCACGAGTGCCGGCTCCATCACCAAATAGTGATTAGGGCAGGCATCTTTAGTTGCATGGCTCTTCACCAGAAATGTCTTGCCGTCAGATTTGCCCTTCAATAAAGCCTGATCCAGGTTATTGACATCGCCCAGCTTGAGTGAGCGCATCTCCTTTTGGTCCTTGAGAAACACCTCTGCACACTTCAATGGACTAAGCCCCGCTGGCTGGCAGGTGGGACAGTATGTATATGGTTCAAAGACCTTGGTCAGCTCCATTACATGGTCCAAATTGCGTATGCGCAACGCCGCAAATATGTTATCGATGCGCACCATTGTCTGCTCCTTTTCTGAGTACGGCTTAAGGATCTTCAGCAGTCGCTCCTCGATCAGAAAGCCACCGCGATCAGCCAGCTTACGCAATATGTTGCGCATAAGGCGTGCAGATTCTAGCGGCAGTTCCTGCATGGGTCCGCGTGGTTTCTCCTCGTCTTCGGTAGCCGTGTATCCAGAGCCGCCGTATTGCTTAGGCAATTTGCCAAAACGACGCTCGATGCGATCCATGGCGTTGTTGGGTCGCTTCTCCACCGGCTTGTTGATGTTCTCGATGTTTATGTTGGGCTTCTTCCACGGCATCACCAGCTGCTGCTCGTGTAGTATGCGATCGATCTCGAAGATGCGTGTGAGCAAGTCTGTGATTTCCTCGTAGTTGATGTTCCATACGCGATTAAACTTCTCGCGGTTAATATTACGCGTGTGCATGGCTTTGGCCTCCATTTCGCTGATGCTTCCGTGCAGTTGCTGAATCTCATTAGTCAGTTTAAGTATGGTGCGACGGCCACTGTGGAAAACTTGCTTGTAGTTGCGCCTGGTGCGCGCGACCATTTCATGAAGGCGGGCGACACGACGCTTTTGTTGATTTGTTATAATTGTGTTCTCATCGTTGCGCCGCTGCAGCACCTGGTAGTTGTAGTCAAGCTTCTCGGAATTCATCAGCACGTTGTCGCGTGTTCGTCGCAACTCCAGTTCTAGGCGCTCGCACTCCTTCTCCAGGCGCACACGCGTCTGCTTCGTCAGCTCATCCTGCGAGTCCCTCAGCAGTTGCAGCTGCAGCGAATAGAACTGTTCGCGCACGCGTACAAGCTTGGACTTCTCCTCGAAGTTGATATTGAGGGCGTTAAAGAAACTGCGCCACTTTTCGTCAGCTGTCAACGAGAACGTCTGCCGTTCGTCCTCAACGGTGTTGCGCAACAATTCAAGATGGTGCTTGTAGGATTCCTTTAGGGTCTCCACTTGATTGTCAATGCGCTCGACCAGACAGCATAGATCGGCTGCCTGGTGCTGGCGATCAAATTCGTATTTGGCATTCATGCGATCAATTTCCTGCTGGCAGGCAGCTATCATCTCATCCTTGCGCGCCATTATCTCGGCGATGCGCTTCTTTTGCTCCTCGATCTGATCCCAGAGCAGCATCGGCTCATTGATCTCATTCAGCTCTGTCCATCGCGCTTTAATGTCATCAAACTTGGCCATTGCTTCAATGTTCTCGCCCTCCAGAATCCTCTTCATATCTTTTTGTTGTGTGGCCTCAAACACCCGCCGATTCAGCTCGCGCCGCTCATTTGCCACGCGTATGTTGGTAACCAGCTCGTTGCCGAAGCGCACTAGCTGACCCAGCCGGGTGCTGGACAGCTCCAGCTGCTGATCGATTTTACTCATTTGAGCCATTGAACGTTCCGCAAATCCCTTGGGTGTATCTCGCTGTATCTGGCGCATTCGCTGCACAATGGTTTGCCGGCGCTCATCCAATAAACGGACAGGCTTATCGCATTTTTCGTTGACCAAAAGCGAATCAATGTGCGCCTGAAAGGACTCCCAGCTATCTGCATCATGAGCCTCAGCCTCATCGTGCTCCGATTCAGTTTCGTCCTCCACATCCGCATCGGACTCAATCTCCGTGTTGGCGTTTTCAGCCTCAACGTCATCGTCGTCCTTGTTATCGTTATCCATATTGTATATCTGTTAAATTCAACACCAATATATTATATACATAAATCTATATGCTTGTATGTGTACTTGGAATAAGAATTTCAGCAGCCAACTGCTACTAGAAAAGAAGATTTCAATTGAATTTCATGTATATGTAATTACTCAGGCTGTCGCTCGAGCTTGGCCGGCTACTTGGATTGGAGTTAGATCGATATAGTTGCCATGATACGCCAGTGCTAATTTTCTTCGCTTGGGGATGTTTTGTAAATCTGAGCATTTTAATATATGTCCGCATTGTATTGGAGATTCTTTTTCGAAAAAGTATTGCACATGCATACATTTTGTTTACGTCGTCGCCAGCCGCTGTGCGCTCGATGCCAGCTGATTTTAGGGTGGCCGTTCATTCGATACCAATTAGAATGGGAACAGCTCACATTAGTGCCATCTTGCTCACTCGAACACGCCCAAAACACATTTCTATGAATGTTGATGTCATCCCAATGTATTACATATGTATTTAATTTCATTTAAACTTAAATTAGAATTACATTAATAATTTAAGTATTTAATGCTTGACTGCGTTGCGCACTGCAAATTGCATTACAGCGCCCAGCCCGATTGAGTTGCATTTGACTCTGATGTCAGAGCCAAATACAGCTCTGCGCTCCTGGGTTGCATTCGTATTTTATTTTTTCTTCAGACCATTGCAAATCTGTTTTAAAATTTTGAAAACCAGCAAGCAAATGCGCTTTATTGAACCGTAATACACAATTTTGTGGAATTGTTTAAAGTGCACATACATATATCTATGTATGTACATACATATATATCTATTTCCTCATTTCTATTTACAAAACGTTTGCCACGGGTTAATGGGGAGGGGGGATGGCTGGCTGGCTGGCTAGCTCAATTGCTTAATTGCTCAGTTATCCTCAGTCTCCAATGTGATTTCATAAATCAATTCGTCGTCATTATACTCCTGGCCAACCGGTTGGTACTGCTGCCTCTGTTGTGTTTGCTGGTCAAGAGCAGGCTCCAGATACTGTTCATCATCGTCCAGTACCTCTTCGTGGTGCTCGTCTTCGGCTACCTGCTCGACGAGCAAGCCCTCATCCTCGTAATTGCTTTGATCGAACTGCTGCACATATGGCTGCTC